AGAATAATTCTTATCTATGCTAGTGTGTGTGTATATATATATATATATATATATATATATATATATATATATATATATATAATTCATATAAGCTTATCATCTTGTTATATTTTACAAAATACGGATTTTTCAAAAAATAAAAAAAAACATACTGAAAATAAAGAAAAAATATAATACTTACAAATAATACTTATATATATATATATATTCAAAAGTAGTGCAATTATTTTTAAATAACTTTTTGATTTTGTTGTTAGATAACAAAATTCGAATTTTATTTTTATGTTGATACAATCTTAATTTCATATTAAGTTTACATGTTTACCTTTAAAGCAATAATAGATGATATCAAATTCTTAAAATTTTGTAATTTAATTTAGTAATATAAGTGTAATTTTTTAAATTACTAATTTAGAGGTAAGGGAATGAATGAATAATTAACATCACATATGTATTACATTAAAAGAAATTTAATTTAATTGTTTATGAAAGGCTTATCAAGAAAACACATGAGATGAAACACTTGAACTGGATTCACGGCAAAATTATCATACAAGGATCTTATAAATTAGTATTAAGTATATTGGAAATCATTTATAATTTTAGGATTATTTTCTACATATCACGTATAAATTTCATCAAAAGAAAATCTTTTAAATTTATAAAATATAATTTTAATTTTAAAATAATATTCCAATTAGCATTTTGTTAAAGTAGAGAATTTTGTTCAAGAATAAGTATTATATATTATGGAAGTTCACCTATATAATAACGATTTTACAAATATTAAACATTCAAAGGTAATATCAAGAATTAGTTAAATTAGTATTTATTTTTTTAACTGTTTAAAGAATTTTTGTTTTTTATAGTAAATAATGTTGTAAATAAAAAAATCTGACAAATATAATTATTTAACTTCTATTAGATTTTATATTATTTTAATATATATTAATTTAAAACAATATGTTAAAATTTAACCTTATATATGTTGGTATAAACATTAATTTATTTTACAAATTTTTATCGGACTACAATATATGAATATGTAAAATTCGTTTTTATGTAGATAATTGAAGCATTAATCATTTTATCATAAATCATATTAAGAATATCTTTTACAAAATAAATTATAAAATTGCTAAGTCTTTGGTTTGGTTTATTACTACTATTTTCATAGTTTATTAATAGATAACCTAGGTTGTAACATTTGTCAGATATTTAAATTATAACAAATTGTTTTAATATAAAAAACAAAAATATCTCAAAAAATTAAGCTACTTACACCATGAAATGTTTATGTACGAATTATAAAAACATTGAAATTAACAAGCAAAACATATACATATGTAAAAATAGCATCAGTAAAATAATAAAATTCATTAAATCACAGTACAGGCAACATTTCACTCAAAAAACTTGGAAGGCATTATTTTTTCATACTGAATATGAATTTTTATTACACAGTTCGTATTTCCAGCTTTTTTTTTTTAAGGTTCAAAATATGACTTTTTGCTATATATTAATAAATTTGGCTTGTCGAATCTGTATTTTCGTAATTGTTAATTGTGTAAGAGTAAATGTATAACGCGATTACAGGTTAAAAATCTTATGTGTCTAGAGTACAGTTGTACCTCTACATAAAGCTGAGAGCCTGTCAGTTAAAAAATCACTAATAGCATTTAATTCTAAGAAATACCTTACCAATGCAAAAAAAAAATACGGATTCGACCATCCAACACACAACACACACTGCTGTTATGCTCATGAAGGTGTGTGAGCACTTGCTTCATTAACTTGTTTTTCCTTTATCATACGGCTCTGGAGTACCAGTCAAATATTATTTGGTACCATAGTAGATTTTTGTTTGCTCGTGCTATTTCGCATACAAGAAAAGTGATAAACTTTACATGTGGTTAGGCTAAAATGTGCTGCCCTCGGGTGGCTGAGATAATTTCATATTTTCCTTTAATGTCATTAAACGACGCAATTCTGTGAGAACGGTTTTAATTGTGTATTCACGTTGCCACTTTGATAATATAGGTACACTTCTGTTATCCACCTACAACAAAAATTTACTATAAATATTCAGGAAATATTTAATATTTAAATTTATAATTTACTTAAATCACCTAACAGTATTTTAATAATTTATTATAACTACTTTATTCTATATTCTACAATATAATATTGTAAAAATTAAAACATATTAGGTTATGTTCTGTTATTGAATATTACTATTATTTATAATTAAATTGATACATTTTAATAATTATAAATATTTAGTATATATATATATATATTCTATTTTACAAAATAAATGCAAAATTTCTTTTATACAATTAGTAATATGGTAACTGTACAGTTTACTTTTATATCTTATATTTTTTAATATAAAAGAAAAAAAATACGTTTTTAAAGATTGAAATAAAGTATTCATCAATATAAGTATATGTGTATAAATATAAATAAATTAATACTTACCGCTCCTGTGGAACTATTAATGCAATTCATATTAATTCTACTTAAGAATCTAACACTTGGAGCATCATCCGGATATCTTTGACCACAATCAATTTTAAGACTATACATCCTATTTTCATACGGAGTCTATTAAAATAGAAATAGAAAACCATTTTAAAAATGTGAATAATTCAAATTATAATAAGAAATGTATAAATTTGTCTATATTCTAATATTAATTACATATTATAAATTTAAATTAAATAATTTTAAATTTAAACATTTCATAAGAATTTGGACTTTTATAATGAATATACAAAATACTTCATTTCTCTACTGAATTATTAGTTTAATTACAGAAACTAAAATTAGTAAACTTTTTCAATAAATAAAAATTTAATTGACTAAACACATTTATATTTATAGAGAATATTTTATACTAATTTACTAAGTGAATTTTATATATTATTTTATTTATGAGTTTATTTAAAATTATATACCCTAGGTGGTCCAATAATCATTCCAGTCCAATGAGTTAGTGTCATATCATCGTCATTTTCTAAACCCCAACTGATTGTACCATCGCCAACGCCCTTTTGACCTTGTTCCAATTCTTCTAGTAGACGGAAATTCCTTGGTACAACTGTAAAAATATACAAGATCATTGAATTTTGTTGCTATTTTGAAACTAAGTAAATTAATAACTTAATTTTACATTACTTTGTAGTTTAAAAAGTTATAATATAAAATTAAATAATAACAATTATATGGAAAAACAAATATATTTCAAAATAAATATATAAATTAAATATAATTTACAAATTTAAATAAAATTATAAAAATTCTGTCAATATATTAAATTGCCTAGCAATATGTAGCTTCCTATAAACAGCTTCTTGTAAATACTTTCATTATTTTATTGATAACAACAGCTTTTCAAAATGTATTGATTGAAATTATAATATAAAAATATTTTTATATTAAAATAGTTATCATTTTTAAAATTAGTATTATTTCGGTATATTATTAATGAAAATAATTAGTTCAATGATTTTTTCAATTAAAATAAACATTTTTTTTCCGATGTTACAATAAAAAATACATATTTATAATACATCACAGAAATATAATGTATAAAAGGCCTAAGTGTCCATAACCATATTTCAGATATCTCGCACCAACTAAATTATCTATTTGTAATACAGTATAGTTTTCCAAAGTCCGTAACTATTTTAAAAGTATAATCAAGTTAATAATACATCCTCTAAATTCAATGAACCATTCGAAAAGAAAATTTTTAATATGAAATTTGTTATGAGGCTAAATGTCAAGGTTACAATCACGAGGATGTCCCAAGTGCTTTCAATCGCAAATAAAAGATGAAGAAAAATAAAAAAAATATATAGAATAAGTACGAACCTACACCGGCCGTTGGCACCGCCATGATATCCCCGTGAAATTCGTCGCGAGGAAACCAAATAAGAATACACAGCCACTCTGATACCTGCGCGCGTGTTATATGACTTCAACAGGGAGGCGCTAATTTTTCGGCTCCTGGTCCACACCGCGACAAGACAGAAGGTGTGTAACTAAACTGAGCACGTCAGCGTGTGCGTGTACGTATCTATAAATGCCGAGGTATACGTTTGGTATGTATATAACGCGTTCTTTTCTCCGACCCTACGATGACGACGACGGCGACGGCGACGACGACGACGACGACGACGACGACGACGACGACGACGACGACGACGACGACGACGACGACGACGACGACGACGACGACGACGACGACGACGACGACGACGACGACGACGACGACGACGACGACGACGACGACGACGACGACGACGACGACGACGACGACGACGACGACGACGACGACGACGACGACGACGACGACGACGACGACGACGACGACGACGACGACGACGACGACGACGACGACGACGACGACGACGACGACGACGACGACGACGACGACGACGACGACGACGACGACGACGACGACGACGACGACGACGACGACGACGACGACGACGACGACGACGACGACGACGACGACGACGACGACGACGACGACGACGACGACGACGACGACGACGACGACGACGACGACGACGACGACGACGACGACGACGACGACGACGACGACGACGACGACGACGACGACGACGACGACGACGACGACGACGACGACGACGACGACGACGACGACGACGACGACGACGACGACGACGACGACGACGACGACGACGACGACGACGACGACGACGACGACGACGACGACGACGACGACGACGACGGCGACGACGACGGCGGCGGCGGCGGCGGCGGTAGAGACGACGACGATCGCAGTGGTGATGATGATAATCTATATCTTATTTTCCCAAAAGAGAAGAGAAAGTGCGTGCGTAGGAAGGAGACAAACAGACAGACAGATAGGTAGACAGACAGTGAAACGGAATATCACGTATAAAGGGTGAGAGGGGGGATATGTATATATACTTAGAAAGAGTGAGATATATATATATATATATATAGAGAGAGAGAGAGAGAGAGAGAGAGAGAGAGATGAACAATAGGAAATGAAATGTAAAGCTACATATGCGTTTGCATGTGTTCCGTGAATATCGATATATGCATTGTGTGTAGCTATGCGCCTATGCTTTTCGCGTACGTGCCTTTGCGCGGGCGTATCAGCCCACGCGTTATATATGAGCCGGCACTTTTCCGTAAAAAGAAGAGAGTGCGAATGTTATTTAACAGCGTCGTTAAATTATAATAATACAATTGGCAGATTATTGCGATCGATCAGCAAAGTCTTGCGTTCCTTAATCACTCAACGCACATGTTACGAACAACGAAATTCAGTTCAATTCAGCTTGAAGTTTGGTCGGCAACTTCGAAATAGCACCATTGAAGCGTACTACTTTTTTCTTTTTCTTTCTATAGTCTCTCTATGAAATGTAATATATAATATTCATTCGTACGATCATTGCATCAACCATTCTATACAGGAATAGAACGTCGATCGACTCGGTAGCACCGTAAATCGCATTCTGTACATCGCGTTCCCTACATGAAGTAGTAAAGAAACAGAGAATGAAAGAGAACACGAAAAGGAAATGGATGAACTTCTCTTCATGCCTTGCTTTTTACATATTTGTGCACAAAACCGGGTATTTATAATTTATTTGAAATGTCATTGCACAAATTCTTTTATGGGGCACGTAGAGTTACACTTAATAATTCAATTTATAACGACAATAAGTAATTTATTTTTATGATGGAAGAGCCCTACAATGAGATTTGTTCGGCCCTTAACAAGAAATTAGAGCAGTAAACTATATTATTGGATTGGCAACCATTTTCGTGCGCACTTATTTGACTGTTGAACTTCTTGAATTTGCTAAAAATTTGTATTTTACTTTATTTGAACAAATTTCTGAACAACTAGTGAAAAGTACTGTATTAATTATACGATTTTAATTAAGTCTACCAAGTGCACCTAATACGAGAAAACTTTTTAATAGTATTAATAGTATAAGTGTTTAACATTTTTAATGCTATTTTCAAAGCTATATGTTTAAAATCGGTTTATAGCAGAATTCTGTGAAAGAATGGGGTTTTATGAAGTGATTATCGTTTATTAAAAAAATTAACGTTTTTTATTTGAATATTTATGTTTATAAAATTAATAATACGTGAGTACATAAATAATATATTTATTTGTTATATTACATTGCATACGTATCGAAATTGGTTATTTTATTTTTCTACATTATTTTTCTATATTATTTTTCTTACTTTTTTACTTTATTTCTATAAACATTCTTTATATACATATAAACTCATGTGTATATTATTTTTAATAATATTATATTGTTGTAACAATATTTATATTTATAAATATTTATAAATATATATAAATATTATTTATAAATATGTTCAAAATATTAAAAATGATTAGTTTAAATAGGTGACCATATTAATGCAAACATTTGATTAAAATTTTAATGAAAATTTTCATTAAAATTTTAAGTATTATACGAAATTATAAATTAAGCTATAAATTAATTAACGTGTTTAACGTTAAAGCGGAATTTAAATTAGTTATTACAAGATGAATGATTGCAACTATTAAGGATATATAAAAATTACTTTTTTATTTAAATGAAGAATTTCATTCTGAATTTAATTTGTTGTTTGTTTATTTCTTTGACAGGAAATCAGGATCGCCGTTTTAGTTAGCATTTTACAAATAAATATTCTAATCCTTATATCTATTCAAAATTATACTAGTCTCATTTGTCATTTATTTAAACATTGTTTCCTAATAATTCCCAAATAATTCATTTTTAAGTATAAAGATCAAATATTACTTATCAATCATAATTTCATTCAAATTCAATCAATACTCATTACAATAAATTTTATAGCATGATTTGTTCTATTACATAATTTATTTCACTGAATGTGTTGTTTTTTTACTACTTATAATTCAAATGTTCTTTCTTTTTCTATTTCAGTTCTATCACTTAACATAAAATGCAAAATGGAATAAAAATTCAAACTTTTCATTTCACGTTTATAGTTTCGTGTAGATAGTTCAAGATTGTATAATTTTGAACCTTCAAAATTTTTTAAAAATATGATATAACATATTTATTTTAATATTGTAACTAAACGATAAAGCTATCAGTGAAATACCTCGCGGTTGAAGTTACTAATTAATGAAAATGATAAAGTCAATAATTTTTATTAAAAATAAAAAATCGATATTTATATACATTTTTAACAAATACATAATAGCATTTTTTATTCATTAAATTTTATTTAATAAAAATTATTTTATTTATTTAGATTTGGAATTTATCACTAATTTTTTTAATATTTAAATATCATAAAAAAGAGTATATAAATTTATTTTTAAGTTATATTTCTCATCAATTTGAATTAATCAAAGAATAAAATTACTAGAAGCACTAAGAACACAAGGAAAATACTTTTTAACTTTTAAAATAAATAACCTTCTTAAGTTAATTATAATAATCACAAGAATAAACAACAAATAAGAATAATTTAGTAATTTAGAAAAAAAGTATATATTATTATATGTTTATTTAATTTATAATTTGCTTTTTTATGGTTTTATTGATTGTAAATTGACATTATACGGAATGACACAAGGAAATTTTCATATACAGTACTATCTGAATTTAACTTATATATTTTGTATTTTTTAAAATTTTTAAATACTTAAATAATGACCTATATAAAATTTAAAATTAAATAATAATACTTAAATATTTTATAATAAAGTAATACTTTATATTTATTTATATATTTTAATAATAACACATTTTTATGAAATAAACAGAAAATTATATTTCAATAACAGATAATAGTGTAATTCTTAAAATTTATTTAAAATTTTGTTAATTATGATATTTATTGTACATAAATAAATAACATAAAATCCCATAGTATAATATAAGAACTATAATTCCTATTTAAATAGTTAAACATTTAGGTATGACGTATTATAATAATAATTTCTATATTCTATACACAATATTCTATACACATACCATTGGATGTTAAAAATGAAAGAAACTGCGAGTATATTTGATCTTAAAATTCTAGTGCTTAGTTTATAGTTAAAAAAATATTTGAAGATAATTTTCTTTATCAAAACATTGGCTTATACAGAAGAAAATATTATTTTAGCATAGTGAATCAATACTAGTTAAACTATTAATTAGATTTGATAAAAATGGATTATCTCTAACAATAATCAGCATTTAGATGAAGAATATTAATCAAGCATGTTACTAGTAAAAAAGTGAAAGATACAAAAAGAAAGAGCATTCTTCATGCAAATATGAAGTATCGTTTATATAGATGGAGATTTATTGTAAATTATGTATAATTTATTAACATTATATAATTTACGGTAAATATGTTTAAATTGACTTTATTAAATTTGTTTTTAAAGAATTATGTACAATTAATATTATAATTTTATAAATAAATGGTAACAAATAATATTATCAAGTATAAGATCTTAAATTACATACTATAGTAATTAAAATATTGTCTTCTTTATATAATAGTAATACTAAATAGAGATGTTTTAATCTTCACGTTAAATTGTTAATTATTCTATTACATCTTTAATTAATATTATATTAAATAAATATTTTAAAGTATTTATTCTAATTAATAATTTTGTCTTACCTATTGCAATATCATCATTACCTTTTTCTTTTATTCATTTAAAATTATGACCAGTTTTTATTGAAATTTATTAAAGTCAAATTATACTTATCTTTTACAAGATAATTTGTTATACTCACCATATTTATTCCTATTGAAGATATTATAAAAGTTTTATTTTACGAGTACCTTATCAAAAATTCAAGATAATACAATAAAATATCAAAGATTAATCGTTCCTGTGAAGTGTATAATTAGCAACATATTTCATAACCATTAAAGACGAATTCGTCTTCAGTTTTTTCTACTATTTATTCGAACACCCCTCTACTTTTAAATGGCACTAAAACTTTAAGAAAGACGTCTAAAATGACCGAATTTTTTATCTTCGAAAATGTCATCGATCAATTAATTATTACGATAGAAGATTAAATACAAAACAAAATACTTCTAAAATAATAATATGAAAATCAATTCACGCTATAGACTAACTAATTAGTGTAAATATATGTATCTAAATGCATATATTATTTAACAGTATTTAATGATTGAATAAAAAAAAAAATTTTTCGCGTTTTTGAAGAATATATAAAAATAATAATAAGTAGATATGAAGTATAAACAGTGAACTTATTTATCAAGAATTATATAAATTATGTTTTAATTTTTTGAAATAATAAATTTAATTTCAATAGTTCAACTTAGATTGCAGTAAATATTTTTAGAAATCTATTTAGCCGAGAAAGTAAGTAATATTTTAATTATTTTTCAATATATTATATATTTTGCAGTAAAATGAATAATGCTAAAGATTAAATTAAAATAATTTATATTTAGTGTTACAATTAAAGTTCTGTATTAGCTAATCGGTATTCAATAATACAGTAATACTGCTATGATATTTTAATTGAAATTCTAATGGCACAAAAATATAACAGTGAATATAACAAAAAAAGTATTTTATATATTTGATTTATAATATCGATAGATTTCATATAAAAATCATTCGTATTTAAAATATTTATGTTAACTTAATGGATAATCGAAGAAATGAAAAATAATATAGTAATTAATTCTTCAGATTTTTATTGTTTGATAAATGCTTATAGGAAAGGATTCGAATGAACTTTAAAATATAATTTTACAAGTTTTTAAAAATGAAGGTAATGGAATACCTAAAAGATTGTATTCTATAAAATATTAGCATTATACAAATTATCTAAACGAATGAATAAAATCAAGTATCCGTTTTTTAGAAAATGTTCCATGCGATAAAAGTTTGGCACTCTATATGATACGTAAAATTTTCAAATGCTAAAAAAATTGTAGGGCATAAACGCTGAAGCATAATTGATCGACACTTAAATTACTGCATATCTCTTGTAATTTTTTATTTTTACATTTTTATCTCTCGTTCACAGTATAACAAAAATTAATTTATATTAATGTATATACAAAAAATATTAATATACAATACATTAATATTACATAAAATGTATTTAGGTCACTTATGAAATTCAATCAAATTATATCAGAAGGTAAGTTGCATTTAAAGTATAAAATTAATAATATGAATTGTAATGTTTATTATAAATATTAATCATTAAAATAAACATTTATGATTATTATTATTATTATTAATACAAAGTGCTTACATAAATTACATACCTATTATGTAAATTTATATATTAAATGTTGTAATAATTTTATATTGTATAAGAGAAGCGATACATCTTCAAATATAATCATCTAAATAATCGTTCATATACGTATTATTCGTTAATAATTTAATAATTTTATTGGCAATACTTACTTATCATACCTAACCTTTTTACGTAATGCTATTTGAAATTTAATTTTTAACACGTGATAGGCTTACTTATTGTTAAATATTTTAAAGAAAACCTTGAAGAATAACTTGATTGAATTTACTTGCAATTTATGTATACATTAAAACTAATATTTTATTTTATTTCTTAACTTGTTTTTATTTTTTTTAATGATATATTGTTTATAGGAGAATGTCAAATCGTAAAATTTCAGATACTATTGCTATAGTACGTGGTATGAGAATAATTTTTGATGCAGTATTAAGAGAGCATGGGAAAAATTTTCCAATATTGAAACTGGATAATGTTAAAACTTTTACTGATGAGAGGTTTAAAGGTTTGGAAAAATTATTGATCAATATAGATGAAAGTAAACTTCCTGTAAGTTTCCAAATAAGCCAATTTAATGGTTTCTTATAAAAAATTTGTTTCTATTTTATAGTTTTCCTCACATTTTGATATAAATATATATTTTTTTAATTATTTATAATGTATTTTTTAGAAATACATAAGCTGAATGACTTGCATCAAACTTAATAATGTGTGTGTGTGTGTGTGTGTGTGTGTGTGTGTGTGCCTGTTTGCACACATCCTTATTAATTTATGTATATATGTAATGTTATTATATAATAAAATATTATTTTATAGGAAAAATTAAAAAAAGACTTGGAAGAATTTACTGACAAAATATATGTAATTGAAAAAAGTTTCTCTCAGTATACAAAAATTAGAATTGAAGAAATTTTAAATTTAAAAGATATATCAAATATTTTTAAAGATGATGTCAGTGACAAAAAGAAGAAATTACATGTTTATAATCCATCGAAGGATCCAATGGAAATATTAACAAATGGTGTCAAAACAAATATAAAACATGTTCAAAATATGTCAAAATCTATTCAAAATACAAATAATGCCAATGTAAACAATAGTAATAAATACAATGAATTACCAATAAAATATTCAAGTGTAAAAGAAAAAATAGAAACAATTGGTACTGCTCATACTGAAATACCAAAAATTAAGCTTTCAGAAAAAGATGAAAAATTGTTAAGAAAATTAGAGCTAGAACATGAAGAAAAAATCAAAAAGCAAGAAGTTTTAAAAATAAATAATGTATATTCAAAACAAATTGAAAATATAACAGATATAAACAATATAAATAGTAAACAAATTCCTTGTCCAGATGCAAATAGCAAACCAAAATACATGGTTAGTATTTCTGTATATATATAATTTATTTTCAATTTAATTAAAAATATTATTTCAGCTTTCGAAAGACGCTAAAGCCATAAAAGTTCCATCCACTAGATTAGAAAGAATGGTTAGTTTTGGTACACTTGGTATTGGGCTTGGAATTGGAACATTAGCCGAGTATACACGAAGAACTTTAGGAATTAAAAGACAAACTATTGACAAAACACTTGATAATGTGTTTCTTACCAAAACAAATGCTGAACGAATTGTATCAACATTATGTAAAGTTAGAGGTGCAGCTTTGAAAATTGGTCAAATTCTTAGTATTCAGGATAACACAATTATCGGTCCCGAGTTACAAAATGCTTTTGAAAGAGTTAGACAAAGTGCAGATTTTATGCCAACTTGGCAAGTTCATGTAAATATATGTTTTGCCATCCTTTTAATTTTAATAAAATCCTTTTTTTAAAATAATTATTATATATATTATAGAAAGTTTTATGTGGTCAATTAGGACAAAATTGGAGAGAGAAATTAGAAACATTTGATGAAAAGCCATTTGCTGCAGCTTCTATTGGTACTCGGATTAATTATAGATTTGTCCAAATAATTTTTAAAATTTATCAATCTGTACTCTATATTATTTTTTTTCAGTTTGTTTTTAACGAATGTATTTCAAATCTTATTATTTTACAGGTCAAGTACATCATGCTACTTTACATGATGGAAGATCTGTTGCAATAAAAATTCAGTATCCAGGAGTAGCAGCTGGTATACAGAGTGATATAGAAAATTTAATTGGTCTAATGAAGGTTTGTTACTTAAACGATTAATTTAAAGATTGTTTATATTATATATATATATCAATGATCAAATCAAATATTTGAATTCAATTTTTAATCTAAGACAATGAATGCTTAATTATATTTTTTTACTATAATAAAGGTGTGGAATATGTTTCCTGATGGAATGTTCATTGACAATATTGTGGAAGTTGCTAAAAAGGAATTAGCTTGGGAAGTTGATTATATTAGAGAAGCTGAATGCACTAGGTTTTATAGAAGACTAGTTGAACCTTATCCACAATATTATGTTCCTGAAGTTATAAGTAAATAATATTTTAAATTATTTAATAAAACCATTTTAACCAGTTCTTTGATTCTTATAGATGATTTATGCACAAGTCAAATATTTACTTCTGAGTTAATTGAAGGCACACCAATTGATAAATGTGTAAACTTGGATATAAAAACTAGAGAATATATTTGCAAACTCATCATGCACTTATGCTTAAAAGAATTATTTGTATTTCGATATATGCAAACTGATCCCAATTGGTCTAATTTTTTTTTTAATCCAAAAACGAAACAAGTATTTTATAATTAATAAAAGAGAATGAAAGTATTTTATTATATTTCTAAAAAATTATATTTTTACAATTTTGTAGTTGATATTATTGGATTTTGGTGCTTGTAGAAACTATGAAAAAAAATTCATGGATAAATATATCGAAGTAATAAATAGTGCAAGTGAAGGAGATAGACAAAAAGTATTAATTTTATCTAAAGAAATGGGATTCTTGACTGGCTATGAATCTAGAGTAATACAAATATTAATTTCTTAGTATATATCATTCAAAAATATTTTAATTTATATTTTTAATATTAAAATAATTTAATAGGTCATGGAAGAAGCACACATTAATACAGTAATGATTTTAGGTCAAGTATTTGATAAAAATCATGAATTTTTTGACTTTGGAGGTCAAAATATTACAAAAAAGTAATTTGAATAAAAATTTTTTAAATGTTTTAGATAATGTAATAATTACTTATTCATTTGTAATAATTATTAATATCCTTATGCAAGAAAAAAAATTAAATAATTAATTAATTAAAAATTGAAAAAATATATATAAATTATAAATGATGAATAATGGATATAATTTAAAATATAATTTACTTAAATAAAATATGTAACTTAAATGAAAAATATAAAACCAAATTTAAATAATAGCATTAAAAAATTTTTAATTTCTTTTATTTAAACAAAAATATTTATCTATTTCTCTAATTTATTTAAATGATTACAGTATTCATTTTATATTTGAAGTAATATTTTATTATTTAATTTTAGAATACAGAAATTAGTACCAACTATCGTATATCATCGACTCTGTCCTCCACCAGAAGAGATCTATAGCTTACATAGAAAATTATCGGGTGTATTTTTACTATGCGCAAAATTGAAAGTCAAAATTAACTGCAGAGATATGTTTCAGGAAGTGTACAAAAATTATAAATTTGGATAATATTTCACTTGTATTATTATGAAATTAGTTTGTGTAACAAATTTATTATTGTATATTAGGAGATATATCAAAGACTTTATTATTTTAATTATATACGATAATAACATATTTTTAAATGTATCGTATTAGTATCTAATATTGTATACTTATACATATATCTATATTAATTCTGTAAAAATGTAAATCTACATTTATGTATTCTTAAAAAAAGGTGGGTAGAATTAATTATAAAAAGTTTATTTAATTTGACTTTCTAGTATATTAGTTGATTATATAATCTAATTTAAATGTAATGTTAATACGTTGTAAATAAATCTTTTTAAAATAAGCTTTTCATTACTTTAATCCAAGCTTTTACATGTCTAATATTTTGATTTTGATTCCAATATTTAAATATGGCATTTTAATTAAATTTATTATAAACAAACTGAAGTTAAATATAACTTGATTTGTCATATGTAAAGCCTATTTGATTATTTGAACTAGTGCTTCTAATTTAAAATTATTTTTATGTTAAATGAATATGATTATTTAATTTTATTTATTTCCTGAAAAAGTAAATATTTTTCTATAATTTTATAATTAATAATGTTGCATGTATTAATTTGTTATAAATATATTTATATACCTAATTTATCCATTTGATTTTAATATGTACTAATTTGTTGAGATATAATAAATTCATTTAATACATTTGATTGTTTATTATATTTTTTGAGATATAGGTTATTATGCTTAAAAAATTCTACAAGTATATTTTTTTCATGTATTATGAACAAAATTTGTACAGGTTTATTTTCAGTTAAGTAAATCGATTATATTAAATAAAAATATGTTCTAAATAAATAAATAATGTAATTTTTATTCGAATGTTTAGATCCATAAAAATATTTTCAAAATTCATTATATTCACTATTTAATGAACTTTAATTCTTTAATACATAAATTGATTCAACATTGTACAAATAATCAAATTTAATTTCTTTCCTTAAACAAATAAAATATTTAAATTCATTTGCGAAAACAAGTATCAGTATATGAATTAAAATACGAACTACAATTAGATTAGAAATATTTGTAAATTATTTAAATTAGTATTTGTATTGAACAATCTAATTAAATAATATAACACAAAATAAACTTTACAGTAAAGTTAAGTGAAATAATAAATATTTGTTTATTATTAATTCACAACCCATCTTTGTATAATTTAATTATTCATTCGACCTCTTCTTATATGAATGTATTGTTTTTAACAGCTTGAATAGATTAACGATACAAGCGCATATCTTCTCCAGTAACTGGGAAGCGACCAAGTTGATCAAAATGTGGACCAACTTTCATTTTTTTTCTAAAATCGGTTCTTTGTTTAAGTATGTACTTTTTATACATTTTCCAACGCCAAAATCTATATTCAAATATAAAACTAAATAATTGTATTGTTCTTATATCGTTAGTAACGCACAGATAACTAATAAAAAAAATTGGAAAAATTAAGTATGAATACTTTTCTTCTGGTCGTAAAACTAATTCAGTGCTTGAAAATGGTAAATCATTAAGAAAATTTTTCCACCCTTTGTATATCTTATCATTTTGTAATGACAAATTTCGAATTTTGTTATATTCTAATTTTTGTAAAAAAACTAGAGTAAGAATATCGGTATCTGTCCCATCGCTTTTTGGAAAATATTGATGTAATAAATGTCTTACAAATTTATCTGCACCTAAATTATTTAAAATTAATATTAATACAATTATATATAAAACAAATTATTAATCAATAATTTGAATTCCCAGCGATTTTTTAAAATTCAATCATTTTTCCACTTATATAAGTTACATTTTTTTAAACCATATTAAACGTATGCATCTTAAATACCTTTGAATATATTTTCATATTCCATAGTACTTTTCTAAATATTTTTTTAATAAAATTAGTTATAAATTTCTTATCGGTTAATTTTTTATAACCTTTTTTTATTAAAATTTTAAACTATCATTCTACCATTCTATATTATAAACTGTGATATAGATGTCATATGTTTAAATTTTAAATATTTTATGCATTTATTAACATTGTATGTACGATTATTATATAGATGTTAGAATAAAACTAATATATGTAATTTAAAATAAAACTTTAAGTGCTTTAATTAACATTATTATACAAATTTATTAACTAAAGTTTTATGAAATTTAATTTTTAATAAAATGAAAAGTAATAAATAATTATTAATGTGTAAAATTCACATTATAAAGCTTTATAACATCTCTGCTTATAATTATTTTTGTATGTTAAATAAAAAATTGTCTTGCTGGTAGTCTTCGTTTTAAACAATATAAAGTCCTACTTTAAAAAATGTAACTTATTACTAAAACTTTAAAGATAATTTTTATAAATAAGTTATTTATCATCATATCCAAGATTAATAATATTAATGAGAGATCTATGTAATTTAAAACTAAACTTTCTACTCTTTACAATGTTGAACAGTGTAATATTTTTATTCAAATGAACGAAAAATACTTTATTAACATTTTAAAAAACTTTATAAATTTTTAATAATGACTGTAGATGACTGTAGATACTAATTGACTTTTACGGTCAAGTTCATTTGGTCACGAAAAATTTACATTCCTGATTGAGTACACTTTATTCTCAGCATATGTTAAAATATTTGCATTGAAGCTATTAGATCGTTTAGCTATGTTGTGTTCAAAGTAGTTATTCATAAATCATAATGTATAAAGGAATGGTTATAATTATTCAATTGAAGCATAATTATTGATTAAATTTTATAGAAAAAATAAAAAATACACATTTTTATACAATTATATACATTCACTGTTAAATTTATAGATTATAAATGTAAATAAATTTATGATTGATACATTTTGTATAATTTTAAGTTGTTTACTTATATAAACAAGACATTAATTAATCTACAAAAATTTGCAGATAAGTGAAATTTACAATGTTATATCAATAAAGACATAGGTTGTACCTATATTAAGCCTATAATTAAAGTGGTTTTATATTTTATAGTCCACATATTAATTCGTAGACATGATTTTTTATAATTTAAAAAATTCCATTTGGCCTTTAAAATTTTAATTCAATGTACAAATGAATAATTTTACAATATAAAGATTGTTATAAATATGTCACGTGCTTGAGAAATAAGATTGCTATGTATAATCCTTTTTTGTATAAAATTGTTTCTTCGTTTAGCACATTTAAACTAACAGTAATTCTAAAAATGTACAATAATCATAATTAAAAGTTTTTATACATATATAAATGAAATATATCTATTGAATAGAAATACATATTAATAGAAATATAATTCATATTGAAAGTTGACTAGTAAACACGATTTTAAAAACATATTAATTAACAAATGTTGTGTGAATCTATTTTTTCCAGAGTACTTTTTGTACAACTCTTTTGTCATTTTTTTTTATAATATGAACATATTCTTTTTTCTCTTTCTGTAGACAGGGATGTTTTCACTTTCCGTGGTTCTTTTACGTTTATTGTTTATTTTATTAATTTCTGAAATAATAAAATGTATATAAATATGTATTAAGATGTTGAATCATTTACTTACAGCAAAAATAAAATAATATTAAATAATTAGTAACAAATTTTAAATAGATTATTTTAAGTAAACATATTAAAATATTTATATTTAAATATTTGTTTTAAAAAGTTAAATCATTTTATATAATACAATATTGTTTGTTAATTATTAAAATAAAGTACTATAAAGTTAAAGTAAAGAAATATAAAAATCAAAATATTTTATTGCATGTACAATAATTAATGAAATGCAACATTGTAAATATTTATGAACATCTATGCTCATGCAAAATATAGAAAAATGCATGTGATTCCCATTATCAAGAAAATCAACTAGATTCAAATTTTAAGTAAATACATTAAAAACAAAAATTAAACATTTTTCTTACCTTTTTCATTGTAAGTGGCATTGTTGGTATCCGATATAGGATTATTATTATTGCTATGGTTCATCATTGATTTTTTAATGACATCTTCAACATATACGAACTTTTCTCTTTTAATAGCTTTTGATTGTTTTAATGTTCTTTTTCTTGCTGGGTTAATTTGAAAAATAATGTCTAAATTGGTTGGAGCTGTTGCATTCATCAGATTACCAAGCTCATCGTGAAATTCCCATGTTAATTCATCATTGCTAAATACTTTCCTTCTTTTTCGTTTATAGTTATCTTCATCAAAAACATATTGTATCTCTTGACAGGGTATATTACTATTGCTAAAACCATTACTGTTATTTAACGATACATTTTTTTCATCAGCCATCTGTCGAGATTTGAAACGAGTATTGTGCTGGTGTGGGCTGATATTATTCTGAATAAACCTCTCCTTCGTTTTATTCACTTCGATACTGGAAATTTCAGATACATTTTCATCCTCTAGGACGAGTTCGAGATTTGCCTCGCTATCGTTTTCATTATTTGCATTTGTCGATTTAAAAAACGAGTAATCCTGCGTTTTCTGATTAGTATTTGTAATACTCTCAAGAGCTTTTACTAATTCCAATTTATTGTCAATACTTTTACTCTCATTTTTATATGAAGAATCGAATACTATACTATCTACCGATGTATTTTGATTTTTATTAATTTTCTCCTCTTGATTAGTTATTATACTTTGAACTGCCTTAGAAACCTCTTCTTCACTTTTTTTTATTTGGATCGTATGAGTCGTTGTAAGTGTATTCGCATTTTTCTCTATTCCTAAAGCATTCATTTCAATATTTGATGGAAAAGTTTCTATCAACTCCATAGGAGACTTCGTAGTAATTTTAGATATTTTTACTTTTGAATTTTGTACTTTTTGCATCTCTTGTTCTTGGAACATCATAATATCGGAAATTTTTGTGTTGAAATTCATTGGGGTTTCAATTATTTTTGAAATACTAGGAGTTTCGAAAATGTCTACTTCAGTACACGTATTGTCATTCTTAACAGGTGTTTCTTTTTTATAATAATTAATTTCTTCATAAGGTTTACTTATTAAATCAAATACTTTCATAGGTGAAGTATCGATATTGTTTTCAATACTTTTGCTTTTTTTAATCTTATCTTTATCATCAGCTTTTTGTATATCTATTAAAATTATAATGAAAAAATTTAATTTATATAATTATATAATTATATAATATAATTAATGTACAAATATATTAGGAATTAAATATGCTCCATTTAATAAAAAAATGCTTTGATGTTGATTGTAATTTATCCTTATCCAATTCAAAACAAAATATGTTTTAAACTATCTTCTTCTATTTAAATATATAGGATGATATACGAAACTCCATGTATATTTAAATATTTAAAAATTATGAATACTTTGAAATAATATTTATTTATATTTTTTTTAATTTATTTATTTAAATTTTATATTAAAAAAAACATTCAACCATTATATTAAGAAAGAAATATGCAATTGTTTATATGAGATAATTCCTATTTACCTGCAATATCTTCTTTATTTGATGATGAACAACTTTCACAGTTGCAAGACGATGCCGAGGAAGAATCGCTTTTTAAATTGACTTTCTTTTCTCTATACATCGACGTGTTTAATTTTATCACATCGTCTATATTTTTAATATTAGATTCAATTGTAGTTTTTTTATTCTTTAATAAATTTTCTTTAATAACTTCAAATTGTGTTATTTCGGATTTCTTTGAAATCTTGAAGTTATTGAGTATAGGTTCATAATAAGGTGAGCTTATGGGTTTCTACACATATCAGACATAAAAAAGATGTTTTTAGAAAATTAAATAAGTAAATGAAAATTAGATTTTGAATATTAATAATACAAATTCTATTTGAATGGTAAAAGGGATTAATTCAATAATCTAATAATTGAAATATTAAACTCAAACAATAATTAACTTTTAATAATTAGTATTTATAATATATTTATTCGCATCACATCACATAAAATACAATATTAAAATATATATGTATTAAGGAATTAATTAAGGAAAAAAGCTTTTACCTCAGAGCCTTTGTGTAAATTATTAACGCTTTTCGGTGGAGTTAAAACGATCTTTGGCGTTAGCGGACACTCGAGAGGTGTTGCTACAAGGCTTTGAATTGTGCGGGAATCTTCGCTCAACTTTGAAATCGGCATCATAAAACTACTACTCCCAGGACTCAAAATTTGTGGTGTTGGAGGAACTTGTAAAGTAATTTCGTCTTTTTGCAAAGTTTCCAGCTCGAGCGCAAAATCACTCAACGGCGAACGTTTTTTATCCATAGTAAACGAGGACTTAGCGATATTTGTGTCGAGGGTTTTAAGACGGGCGTACTTTTTTTTAACAAGTTTACCTTGTTCTACTTTACTTACCTGATCGTAAATTACCTCGACTTTTTTAGAACAATTATTTTTTATATTGGTATTCGTTATTATACTTAATTGTTCTTCAATCTTTTCATAATCCATTAAATTATTATTTTCTGAAACACTTTGTTTTATCTAGAAAAAATATTAAAATTTTTATAAAATGAATGGGAATGTAACCAGTTGAATTTTATAAATTTATTCAATAATTAAGTTTCTATTTATTACCTTTATACGAATTGTAAATAAAATTAATAAATACATTCAATAAATTCAACAAATTTGATATATTGTTTTAATATAATACGTTAAAAATTCTAGTAAATCACGGATTAATATATTTTTTAATTTTTATTTATTAGTCAATTGTATTATGAAATAATTTTAAATATTAAATAATATGATCGATTTTGTATAGAATATAATACAATCGAACAAAAGTATTAATAAATATTTGATTTATTTTCTATATTTTCAATAATTTAATAACACATTAATTATTAAAATAGTTTTCTAATATATTAATCTTACTACCAAATCAACCGATACACTTTTATTCTTTATTTTATTACAATTATTCAAAAATACATTGCTCCTACAAATATATAACGAGGTATAGAAATATTATAAATTATATCTTACGGTTTCATCAATTTGTTTTGACTCCGATTCTTCATCAGGAACAGATTTATTTGATAATTCTTTCATTATATTTTTTTTTATATTTTCATCATTACATATTTTTTTATTATTACCTATTTTGATTAAATTATTTATCTCTTCAGAAGCTAGTGTTATTCCATTTCCTTCGCTAAAAATTTCATAATTATTTATATTGTCTGATAAAATATCAAGAAGCTCTTTTGCAGTTTGTAAATCTTTGCCATCCGAAATTTCAGATTCAACTGCAGTTCTTTTAACTGTGATTTTTTTTGTATTGTCAGTACTTGTGAATCCTTTTTCTTCTAATTTTTCTAGTTGTTTTAACTTAATTGATTTCGCATTTTTCTTCTTTATTTTAGGTGTAATTTTTTTACATGTTTCTTTTTTTATTTTTTTCTTATGATTCTTTTTCGATGAGTCATTTATATTATTAATTTCATATTGCCCTAAACACTTTCGTAGATCACTATCCCAAACTTTTTTTTTTATACCTTTATTGTCTTCATTTATGAGTTTATCAATCCTATTTTTTTTTAAAGATTCATCTTTTGAAGTTCGATTGGAATGTTCTTTCTCTCTCTCATTAGTTTCATCAATTTTATATTTTTCTTTATTTATGGGTATAAAATTCTTGGTATCTATAATTTCAGAAAGAAATAAAATCTTAGAACTAGAATGATATTAGTAAACCATATGAATCTGGAAATATAATACAATGAAGAAAATACAATGAATCGACTGTACATTACATATATTATTCAATAGTAACGATTTTTAAAATATTGATAACTACAAATATAATATTAAAATATACAATAACTAATATTTATTCTTCAAAAAACATTACGATTATAATTTTAAGATTTAATACTCATTTTTAAATAAAACTAAAATAAAATATTTTATAGATATAATATGTTATGCTTAAATTCATAGTAAATTATCTAAATAATAAATGTATTTTATTTTACCTAAGACGATGTTTTGAAAAATGTCACTATTTTGTTTCTGCTCGATGATATCCGAATTTACAAATGGTGGAGATTGAAACAAAGATGATTTACAAGAATTCTTAAGATTGATCTTGATTATTTCAGGTGAAATACTAATTTGTTTATTTTTTATTTTACTTTCCGAGTAAGACCTATTAGTAGGTGTATTAAAATTAAGAGCTCGAACATAATTACTCGTCTTCTTTGGTGCCGATAAACTTAAACGATTTATTTTAGATTTATTTAATATTTTTTTCGGGGTGCTCTTCATTATGAACTGGCTGTTGTAAAAAAAATCATATGGCCGATTGTTAAATGTTTATTTAATATTTTTAGATGGAATTTTGTTTACATAAAATCTTATTATAAATAGTCATAGTGATAATTATAAAAAATAAGAACATGTAAAAATTCTCGTAGATATAATATTTAAATATTACTATTTTTGTTTATATTCGATAATATTTCAAATTAAATTAAGTTATTTAATATAAATGATAATATATATGTACATTTTAAAATATCACTAAATAGAAGATTTATAAGGCATTTATAATAAAGTGTTTTTTTAATTTATTTAATATATAGATAAATATATTAATTCGTTATTATAAATTAATACGTTAATGTATAATAATTGTTCTCAGTAATTGATATTTGCTTAAATAAACTTAATGACTTGTTTTATAAAAAATAAATTTTGAATTTTGAAAAATATATAATTTTGAATAATATTTAATATATAAAAATAATTAATATTTAATACTACATTTTATATAGATCAAATGATCAAATAAATTTAAGTAAAATTTAACGATTAACATACCTAAGATTTGTGAATATTTCTTTACTATTTTTTTCAACTATTATGTGAGATTCATCAGGTTTCTTGGTTAAATAATTTTTTTCATCTGAAGATGTAAGTTCATCAGATTGTCTATTCCCTAAATATTTTACTTTTTCATCATTTTTCTCATTTAAATTATCAGTTGTCTCTGTAGATTTTTTATGTATTTTTAAAAATGGTGAAAGACCAGTACCCGTTAGTGTAATTGAGTCCTCTACTTCAATTTCAGGTATAATTAATGGAGTTTTTACAGTACTTAAATTGTTGTCCATACCATATAACATGATTGATTCTATACTAAAATATTTGTTATATTCATTATTATCTTTTAAAAGCGGTGATAAATTGTCGATATTTCCATTCGATTTTTGTGAACTATGAAGATTAAGTAATTCATCTAATACTTCAGAGCTTTTTTGTGAAAATGGCGTTTTATATTTAGATACAATGTTTATGGGAAATGCAGATGATATACTGTTCGATACTTTCATTTTTGGTGAGTGTGTATCAGGTGTGTGTAAAGTTTGTTCTATAATTGAAATATAATTAGAATATTTATATTTATGGAAAGAAAATGACTATAAAGTAAGTAAAAATATTTATAAAACTTAATGAATATGCCGTATTAATTTATTTATGTTCTCAAAGATATTTTAGAAATTTAACAATTTTAACAAATTAATAAAAAAATAAAATATAATATAAATTAATTTTTTTTATTAGGAATTGGATGTTCAATCATTCAAATATTTATTTGAAATATTACCTTTAATTGCATTAGTTGATAAATAACTAATTGTTGTAATCCTTTCTGCAACTTCTGTAGTTTCTAAAATATAACATTGGTAATTAATAATTTATCCTACCCTATAAGATGTATATGATATGATACCTTTAGAAATTATAGGTGATATATGAGATGCCACAGTAGTCACAATTGTTTCACAAGCAGTGTAAGTATCTGTAAAATTAATACAATCATTGATATCAAATATGTTATAATATTATTAATTTATTTTTTGATAGTATTACTTGTTTTAGAAGGCATAGCAGTATCATCTTTTTGATAAAGAATATTTGGTTTGAGTAATTCTTGAGTTGAGAACCAGTCATATGTGTCCAAATTTTGTATTGATGCAGATGTTTTAATGGGTGTTGATGTTATATTATTATAAGAAAACAAATTATTAGCTTTATATAGAGATTTTTGTTGTACAGTTGATGATTCTATAGGATTCAAATCAATATATGGTGATTTCATATATTTTTCTGGATTCAATAAACTATTTCGGGCATCACTCACAGGAATCTTAGAATTTTTTTTAATTAAATCTACTTGTTTAACTTCTGTCGATTCAATAACACACTTATCAGTGTTTGACAAATCAGCATGTTCTACATTCATTATTTTATTAGTATTCTGTATATCTAAAACGTAACATGTACTTTGATCGAACATTTGCGAACTTATTGTTTTTATATCAATACTATTTTCAGTCACTTTTTCTTTAGAAACTAATTCAACTTTTTGAAATTTATTTACACTACAAAAAAATATTTTAATATTATATAAAATAATATTTATGGATTAAAAATTTTATATGGTAAATTAAATTTTCAATTAATTACTCACTTTCTATTATTTAGTTCAATTTGATCTGTGTTCAAAATTTCTTCACCTTTTGGTATTATCTCATTCAATAAATCAAGAAATTCTGGATCATTTTCAGTCTTATTCACTGCTACTTCTATAGCTTTATTAAATTCTAAAATAAAGGATTTATTTAATTCTTCTTTGGAATCCTCATTAGATTTATTGTGCAAATTTGATTTTACTGGCTCTAATATTCTATTTATATTATCAGCTATTATTTCTTGTATTTCTGTACGATTTAAGAGTTCTAAAGTTAAATCCTGAAATAAAATTTTATTTTATTGCTTATAATTAAAGAATTCATAGTCTTCAATAAAAGTTTTTTTAATAATTTTTGATAACTGTATAAAAAATATATATATATATATATATATATATATATATATATATATATAATTTAAATTAAAGAAAATATACATTTTATAAAATGTAATAGTAATTAAAGAAAAATACTGATAATAAATAATTCTTTGTTAGACTTACACTTAAAAGTTCAATACATTCATCAGTTGGTGAAACTTGTAAATCATTAGAACAAATATTACCAGCTTGTATTTGAGAATATTTATTATTTTTCAAATTCTCTTCTATTCTATTAGTCATAGTACTTTTATCTAATCTACTGTAACATCTTTTAAAACTTTGTAATTTACTATCAACAGACTTATTTGAATTTTCTTCGATATTAGTAGATATATTATTTTTGTTTAAACTCTCATACCTTTGGTCAGGTAAATGGTGATTTTTATTTTTTATTTCTTGTAATATAACATTTTCATGTAATTCTTCACTTTGCAAAATATTGTCTATTTTCGAAATTTCTCTTGATTTTCTTGGAGATTTTAACTTCAGTGTTTCACACTGCTCCGTTTGTAAATCTTTGATATATCCAGGTAAATTTTTTAATAATGTAGTTTCTGTTTTATAACTGTTTTGAACTGAAAATTGATTAAAATATAAGAAATATAAAATATCTATTAAAATAATAAATAATTTTAATTAAATGGATCTTAAATCATTATAATTAAAGATATTTACTTGGACTAAAATTTGTTTCTGTGTGAGTTTTAAACCCCTTATCAGGCGTTTCTTCTATATGCTTTACTTCATCTTCATCTTTAGAACTAGAATGCCTCCTATGTGATTTTACAAATGATTCATTTGTAACTGTAGATTGATTCTATAGACATTTTTATTTAATACATTTATTTTTTTAATTTGGAATATTATATTATGTTATTATTTTATACCTGTGTGGGTGTGGTAACAATATTTGTTAAAAATTTATGACCTTTGTATTCTTCGATTAGTAATTTAATTTGATTAATTAGATCAGAGCAATGTCTTAATTTATCTGTATTATCACATTTATCAATCTTTTCCTGTACTATAATTATAGAAAGTATATTTTATAATTTGACATTAAAAATAATAAGAGAAAAAAAACAAATAATTTAAGCTTAATATTAATTAATTGATTAAATACGTTTTTAGTTTTTAAAATAAAATAATATATACATAAAAATATGATTTAAAAATATAATTCAAGGGATTTTTTACTTTTAATGAAGTAGTTTACTATTTGCTTTAAATTCATAGAAAAATATTTTCTAAAAACATTAAAATATAAAGTTATAAAATCGTAGTAAATAAAAACATAAAAGTTTTATCCATTATTATCTATGATTATATTATAAATATATATTATCAATATATTATAAATAAAAATAACTATAAAAAAAAATTATGTATAATATAAATTATTATAATATATACAAATATTTATATTTTATAATAAATAAATTTATTTTGAAAAACCTTACCAATAGAATTTATAATACAAAATTTTTCCAAAATATCCCATAATGCATATCCACATACACGAGTAGTAAAATGTTTTCCATAAGACAGGACATTACGACATTCTTGTAAGTTTGGAGATTCGTTAAGAAAGGTTTTAGCTGTTTCTATACACTTTTCTTCCATAAGGTAACCTAAGAAATAATTACTTTTTATGAAGTAACAATAATATACCTTTTTAAGACAAAAGGCAGATGATCTAATAGTGTTCTATTAATGAAATAGATTTTTATTTTTTCTATTTTTCAATATTACACAATTTAACAAAGAATCTGTATGTAATAAATGATCAGAAGTACAAATTGAATAGATTTAATATTTGATAGTTAAAGCATGTATTTTTGTTTAGGTGCATATACTAATTATTAAAAATAAGCAACCAATAAATATTTAATTCATTTTACAGGTGAAATAATTAAATTAAAACATCATTTTAAAAATATTATGATTAAAAAAAAAATAAAATAGCTAAAAGAAAAGTATTCCAACAAAAATTGTTTTCAAATCGGGGAGGTTAATACAAAGAAATGAGTGCTTAACATTTGTTTTACCATAAATTAATCGAGCTATTTCGGAAGGTAAAAGTGCTTCTAGTGCCATTATTATTGTCCGATAATACTGCACTTATTAAATCCAAAAATTTTCCACAAGTCCATTGGTGTCAAACTATTCCAAAGAAAAACGACGGATTTAGTGTAAATTCAGAACACAATGGTCAGGATCATCTATTAGGACATGTTTTTTCGCGGGTTTATTTCGTTGCACACTCCTAATAAAGAATTTGATGCTTTTAATTGGCTGAGGCGCAGCTGTTTCATGATGCGTGCGCATACGTAGTAACGAAAGGAGAAGTTATGTGAGCAGAAGGTAAAGTAAAAATATTTTGTCTATACAATATGTCTATTCGCATTTATATTGCTTATAACGCAGCTTTGTAAATCGTTAAATGTGGATTATTTCTTCTAATAATAAGCTTATTTATGTATTGTAGCATGTTTTTCAAGATCTTTTATCTTTCATTTGGTTTTAATTTAAAGCCTTTCAATTATAAAGTGCATTTTATTGGTTGATTTTTCAAAAGCAGTATTTTTAATAATTATTATAAATATACATATATATATATATATATATATATATATATACGTACATCTTTCCAGATAGTTCAATTGCAACATTGTGAAATAATATATCAAATCAAATATATATGCGATATCAGTTCTGATTTTATAACTTTTTAAAGCCGTCATACCTTTTGTTTACATTGTACATAACTAAATCTATGTGCATTCGAATTTCAATTATAAAATTTTACAATAAATAAAATCGAGATTAACAGTAAAAATTATCAATAAAATTTTGTATTTTTTATCAGCTTCTATTTATGGTTTAATTCTGTAATTAAAAAGTAATATTTATTTATGCTTATGAATAAAAAATCAAGTGATCGATAATATTATTTTATATCTTTGTTTTAAGAACATTTTTGTAATTATAAATATGTGATTATAATTTTTTTTATCTAAGAAAAGTAATTCAGTTCGTTTATTTTTTCAATAACCTAATTAATTTTTGTAAATAAAAATAGAAAATATAAGTGAAAAATAAATAACCAATATATGTATAACAATTTAGTTTCTAACTTGTCTTTATAAATTTTTATTTCTTTGATTATTATTTCTAACCATGTAACGAATAAGTAGTGTTTTTTATTTTAGAATAATTAAAATTGAAAATATGTTTCTTTTAATTGTTATGACTTAATTATTTTGTATATAAATATATAGAATAAATCAACTATTTCATGAATTAAGATAAATCATTTAAAGGACCTTGAAAAATTAAGAATGAAAATATTTAAAATATAATTATTTAATAATAATTTTAAAATTTTTCATTCATACTTTTTTCAGATTAAGTTTTACCTAAATATTAAAGAACATGTCAAAAACATTTTTATATTTTGCTTATGGTAGCAATATGCTAACAAAACGTATTCACATCAATAATCCTACTGCAGTTAAAAAATATGTTGGTACATTGAAGGTAAATTTTAATATTCATTTGTAAATTCTGAAAAATTCATATTTGTTGAATTATTTTTTCTGTTAATATTTTTCACAATAGGATTATCGACTTGATTTTATTACATTCTCAAAAAGATGGCAAGGCTGTGCTGCTACCATTGTTCCTTGCCCAGCCTTTGAGGTTTGGGGTATTGTATGGGAAATTAATATAAGTAATATGCCCGACCTAGATAAGCAAGAAGGAGTACACATGAATCTTTATTTTGCAAAGAATGTAATTATTAACACTACTATAGGAGAAAATATTGAATGTCGAGTGTATCAGCAATTATGTTTACCAGAGGAGTACCTTAAACCAATTTTTTTGCCACCTGAAAGACAGCCTTCATTTATTTATTTGTAAGTAGTTTAATTATTTTTTTACAAAACTTAAAAAAAAACAGTTTATTATCACTTATGTATCTTTTATTAATTAAATAAAAATGTTGTGTATTATTTACGATATAAACAACTAAACTATATTTGGAAAAATCATTAGATATAAATTTAAGTTTAAAATCATGCCTATAAAATCTTGCTAACATTGTTATAAAATTTTAAAAATAACAGAATTCTATATAATTATAATTCGTAAGATCAAAACAAATCTATAATATTATAAAATAAATGAAAAATCAGTTAAGTCAAAAAAATAATTAACGAGGGTAATTATTTGCTACATAATATAAATAAATAAAGATTTTAAATTTAATTTTAATAGATATATATATTTTAAAAAATACAATATTGATTTATGTAACAATAATGAATAATTCTTTTTCAATTATTATGCCCACTTACTAAAATATTTTATTTAAGAAATACATTAATAAGAGGGGCCAAAGAACATAAGATTAACAAAGATTATATAAAATACCTCGAATCTTTCCATCACAATGGATATAATGGAGAAATTGAAATAGTCAGTATTTAATATTTTATTTTATTTCTTATTATAATGCATGTAGCATTCTTTAATTTAACTATACTTATTAGCACAAGGTATTACTGAAGTCTAACAAATTTAATTATATATATTTTTTATTGAAATAGCATTTTTATAAATCAAAAATTAAAATCTATAGTATTTAAATTTTAACTTATCTTTTTAATTATAAATGATAATTGTTGAAATATATTTAATTGTTTGATTTTTTATATTTATATAGATAATTGACATTCTTAATAAATAAATTAATTTATTATTAAAGATTGAACATAAAATTAAAATTAAGTAATGATCAAAATTTATTAAATAAAAGCATTACAAATAGTGCATAGTCGATTTATAATATTTATTTTCTATTGATATTAATAAATTATTTATCCTCAGTTCTTATTTACATTATAAATCCTAATAAAAATATTTATTTAACAGCAAGGGATCTTTGACTAAACATTTATATGACCTATACTATTGAATCCTCATCATCAAATTCTTATAATTTATGCATGGAGCTTATATGTTTATTATATTATTTGAATAAAATAATATATATATATATATATGTATATATATATGAGAATATGTGTATGACCAATCACTGCAGCGTGTGTTAAAAAATATAAATATTTACAAAAAAAATTACATTTTTGTGAAGACACAAATATTATTATTTAAAGTTTGCTTACAAGCATAAATTTGAAATAATTTGCCATTTATGATTGTTTTTCATCTTCGAACCATTAAATTTATATTTTTAATGTACTCTTTTTGTATGATTATAATATTTTTATAATAATCTGTTAATAAACATATTTATATAATGTATATATTTGTATTTATTACAAATTTATTCGTTAGTTGATTATACTAATTAATAATTAATCAATTTCATGAATAACGTTTATCACTTTCAAATGTAATTTATTAAAATGACCATTTGATTTTATCTCAAAAATATATTTAATATTTAAATTTTATTTTGCACCATTCAATTAAAAATATTATTTTCTAAATAAATGTAGTTTGTCAATTTCTATCAAGATTAATTTTTAACATTAAAATGAATTTCTTATAACAATTCCTTAAATATTTTATTTCTTATATAGAAAATAAATACGACAAAAATTGTATAATATAAATTGGATTTCAGTAGAAACTTATATAAATGTAAATCTGATATTGACAGTATAATCTAATAATGCACTAATTTAGTTATCAAGTTAAACTGCTAATTTTTTTATTATATTTTTATTTATTCATATACAAAATCAATAATAAATACTTAACAAAGATAGTTTTAATTAAATTCATACTAATTCTTTGCACAATATATCTAAAATTATAAAGATAAATATTAAATTAAACAAATCGGGTCCTTTTTTAAAAAATATATTAATAAAATTTACACTTTGTAATAAAGAAACAAATTAATATGAAAATCTATTAACCTGACTTTTGGTTTTAAAATCATCGTCATTGAGGTTTTCGGCTAATATTTTCATGGATATTCCACCACTTTTGTTTTGTAAATATACACTTTTTATTCTTTTATTGTTCATGTAATTGTTAAATTTGTCAGCTTTTGAAAACATTTCGATCAAATTATCTTTATTTATCTCTTGTAACTGCTGATATGGATAACGGATTATTTCTATATCACAATTATTTATCTAAAAAAAAGATGTTATTAAGTAAAATTACAACGAAAAAAATATTTTTTATTAAAAAATGATATTAATATTTCTATCGTAATTCAACGATATACCATTATGTAATGATGCCCTTGAATATATAATTGATACTGCAAACATTTACTACATAAATTTACTTGAAGCATTGTTCAATAAATTAGGAGATTTTTACAATTTAAACGTTTTTACAATGTTTACAAGTTTCAAAAGTTTTATTACAATTGATTTTTATTTAATATCAATCAGACAATTCTTTAATATTATATAGAGGTTAATATTGAATTTATTGATAATAAGACAAATATTTTATAATATATTTACTTTTCACGAGGATGCATAATTTGAAGACATTACTTAGTTAAAGTTTTTATTCTCAACTTTAACAAGATAGTTATGATATATTGGTATCCTGGATATGCAACGTTTCATCAAAATAATTATTAAATTTCATTACAAGAGTTAGAATAAAAAATAAATGTACTATGTAAAATTTATTGAAAGCTTCAGATCAAAGTGACTTTGAGTAACACTCGTTCTAAAAAGTAAATCATTATATGCACTTACAACCACAAACACTTTCACCAGGTAATCCGGATCAATCTCCGGCCAACGCTGTTCAAGAACATCCGCGTCCCAAAGGACGTCGTCGGAAATTCGATAAGGAGCCGAACAAAAGCCGGCCCACAACTCCGAAGCAAAGTGAGGTGCGAGAGGTGCAAGCATAATTATCTGCACAGCTAAAGCGCGCTCGAATGCCCTACTTCGCTCGATCGGATTATTGGTGAGTAAAGTTTGTAGAGAGTTGGTCAAGCCTTGCATCTTCGTTATGGCTATGCTTATCTGCTGGGAATCTACGATATTGAATGTTGCCCCCAACAAATAATAGTTACGATTATCATTCAGTTCGGCTTCGATTTTAAGAAATTTATTATCAGGTTGGAAGGATTGTGAAGTTTTACTTTCGACGAGGCCTTGTCTGGCTTTTATGAATTGGGTGACAATTTTCCACAATCGCTTCTCCCAACGTAAAATTCCGGATAATGCTGTAACCGAATTTTTGTATCGTCAAAAATCGTTATAACTTATTTCTCTTACTTTTGCATTGGTTACAGCGTTGACAAATATAAAAATTACTATATGATTAATAATTTATTTGACAGTATCATGACATAGCATATGCAATATAAATTAAATATTTTAAGTGTGTTTAAGTATTTCAACTTTATATTTAAGAACTAATAATGAGAATTGCATGATTTTCTAGAATTTTGAAAAAGTTTTTAAATTTACAAATAACAAATAAAATACAATTAATCGTCAATAATTTATATACATACTGTATTAATAGAACGGCAATAATCTTATATGTATATTAAGATAAAATAAATAACTGAAAAATATAAAAAATAATAAAAATAAATTAATAGTTAAAATCCCAAATTCTATAAAAAAGAGAAGTTGAACTAATTTTAATTACAAAGTTTTTTTAATTTAAATGTTTATTTTATTTTTTTAGGGAACTCGTTATAAAGTTAAAAAAAATTTTAATTAATTCTAATTTTGATTTTCATATTCATCTTTGCTTTTTGAATTGCTATAAAATTAATATTTTTATATGCATTTAAATTTTATATTCAAATTTTTATTAATTTTTTAAATTTATAATTTAATTTTTTTTGACATTCAATTACATTAAAAATAACTAAGTGTTATTATATAATGACTTACTTGATGTCGACCAATGTATAGGTGAGGATGGTGCATAATTTGCCATTACCAATAGTCTGATTGTATCTATGCTATATTGTTCGAGTAATTTCGATGGATTAATACTATTACCTTTAGATTTTGACATTTTTTCCCACTGTTTAGTAACTGGTTCATTAGTTTCTTCTAATAAAAATTCATTATTGATTTGTTTAACTTTACTTGACTCAACATATTTGCCATTTTGAGTAACGTAGGTTTCAGCCATTACAACTCCTTGAATTAGCAATTGTTTGAAAGGTTCTTGAGTAGGAACTAGTCCTAAATAATGTAAGAAGTGACTTACGAAACGAGCATAATATAAATGCAGAGTTGCTAAAATGTTAATGTATTTTTTATATAAATCATACTTAGAAATATTTTTTAAATTTTATATTTTACTAATTACAATATTACCATGTTCTTTTCCGCCAATATAGAGATCTACAGGTAAATAGTTAGCAGCTTGTTTTTTTGAAAACATTTCATTTGCATTTTTCGGATCAATGTTTCTCATGAAATACCAAGAACTGTCTACAAAAGTATCCATTGTATCAGTTTCTCTAGTGGCTGGTCCATTACATTTGGAACAAGTTGTTTTTAACCATTCATGAGCACTTTTCAGACCTTGAGCTAGTAAAGAATTTTTTATTTTGGGAAGTATTATAGGCAGTTGCTCCCTAGATACTGGTTGACAGCCACATTTTTCACAATAAATCATTGGGATTGGTGTACCCCAATATCTTTGCCTTGATATTAGCCAATCTTCTAATTTTGGTCCAACTAAATATCCTCCAATTTGTCGTTCTTTAGCTATTTGAAGAATACTTGAAAGTTTTTCTTTTCGTTTTTCATCTGTATAATTTGGAATTTCTTCATAAGAAATATTGACTAGTCTACAAAATTTAGCATCAATTTCTGATAAGCTTGGAATGCCAAGATAATCATTTCTAAAGCTAGGAAATTTTATGATCTCTATAAAAAATGTATAATTTGATTTATTTATAATTACCATTAATTCAAAAATTCAAATAAAAGTTAAGGTATTGCATTGTAGATATATAAAAGTAGTATTTTTTAACTTAATAAATCAAAGTTAATCTATATGAAATAATATGGTAAATAGATTAGATGATTTAATTTATATCAATTATAAATAAAAAAAAATGTAATATTAAAAAATTAATCACCTTTATTAGTAACGTATATTGGTAACTCTTCGTTTGTAAAGGGGTTTATCACTTTAGCATTTAACTTTACAAAACTATCATTAATATTTTGATTTTCAATTTTAGCAAGACAATTCTTATGAGATAATGCAACAAACTTGACATTTTCAATATATTCTGGTTTATCAATCCATAAAGTTAAAGATTTTGGATATCCCTCAATTTTGGTTATTAATTGAAAGTCAATTTGAGTACCAGTACATTTCCCAATCCAATGCTTTTGTATTAAAATAATATCTCTCCATTCTTTTAATGCACTATCATTTAAACCTTCAAATAATGATCTGCCAAAATACAAGTCATCGATATTTTTGCCTTTCAAAATTCCTAAATTATTTAATACTTACTTGGCAAATGCAGTAGTCTTAACAAACCATTGATTTATTAAACGTTTTTGTACAATAGCACCAGATCGCCAAGATCTATTATTTTTATCAATCTGTTCATTAGCAAGTACAGTTTGATCAACAGGATCCCAATTTACAAATTTTTCTTTACGATAAAGTAAACCTTCGTCATATAATTTTAAAAAAAGTTCTTGTGTCCATTTATAATAAAGTGGATCAGAAGTATTTACTTCTCGGTCAATATCAAATGTACAACCTAATTCAAGTAACTGTGTACGCATGTATTCAATATTTTGTTTTATCCAATCTGCTGGATGAATATGATTTTTTATTGCAGCATTTTCTGCAGGTAATCCAAATGCATCCCATCCCATCGGATGAATAACATTTTTTCCTAAATATATATTAAATTTAGAGAATTTTATTTAAATGATCTAATTTTTTATTATGAAAATAAACTAAAAAAATTATATTACTATGCAGTAGTATAAAAATTATATTAAAGAAATCATGCTATTAAAAAACATCTCGTTACATAAGTACCACAATGCACTTCTAGTTAATTTTGATACTGATAGTTTATATATTTAAAATTTATTTTAATTAATACATATTTAATAATTAGATAAACTTTAATAAAAAGTGATTTCTAATTTAGATATTTTAATGGTACGATCAACAATTATACTTCTTTTGTAAACAAATAAAATTCAAATTTAATTAAAACATATTTTATATATTATTATAATAGTTTAGACAAAAAATTTTAATTTCGTAAATAAAATGTATATTAAATTAAAAAAATTAGTTTTTCTTTCTTTTATTTATAGGATTTATAAACATCTTTTATATAACGATATTAAAGCATATTACCAAAATTGATGTTTTTATATACTTTATTAAATGAAATATTTTTAATTTTAATATTTTATAATATTAAAGCAAAATATTATATCTAATAATATTCGCTATATGACATCATTACTATTATTTACTATATATGATATTAATATAATAATATAATAATGTATAATAAAAATAGAAATTTTACAAAGAATTATAACTTTTATGTTACTTTATATTAGATAGTTCTTAATTAATCAAAGTAATTTAAAAATAAGTTATTACCTTTTAGTCTATAAAAACGAGCAATGGTATCACTAATAACATAAATACGAACGTGTCCCATATGTAAAAATCCAGAAGGATATGGAAACATTGATAAAACATAGAATTTTTCTTGATTATTTAATAAACTACATTTGTTAATTTTATGTATTTTATCTTTCCAATATTTTTGAATTTGAAATTTGTATTCATCTTGAAATGACTTATTCTAGTAAAATTAGTTTTAATACAAACTTAATTTAATAGTTATTATTTATTAAATATTATACCAATTATTCATGAAATCTTTTTAACAGATAATTTTACCCAAATTTGTAATCCACTTGATGCATGTCGTACAAATATGTATTTTACAATATTTTTATTTCTGAAATGATATTTAAATATTGATGAAATACCAGAGCTCATTATTTAAATATAGAATTAATCTGTTACAATAAAAATGTTTGATTAAGTATTACATTATTTATTTTTATTCAGATATTTATGTTTTATTATAGAAATAATACAGTCAAAAAAATAATCAAAAGAAATTATTTAAACATGATATACTTAAAAATTGCTCAAAATTTACAGAAATACCAAGCATTGGCGACATAAGAGTTGGCAACATAACAGTTGGTAACATTTCTGTTTTACTTAGTTTAATTTGGTATTACTCGATAGTACTGATCGGCACTTCAAAAAAAATTATATGGTGTATTTTAATTAAAGTAATTAGTAACTTTTAGAAAAAATTAAAAAAAAATCATGATTATGTAATTTTCATATAATACATTAGTATTCGAAATGTTTTTCACATAATTTTTAAAAATAAATTCTATTTTGAATTGGAAATAAATATTTATAATTTGAATAATAAATTATAAAATTACAGATAATATTTCGATAAATAAAAATGAAAATATACAGTGTAGAGATAAAATAATGACAGTTTGTATACTCATAAATAGTAAAAGTAATATCAATAAAATATATTGCCAATAAGTTAGAATTTCTTATAAAGTCAAACAAAGAAAGAATAAGGTTGTTTTATGTATACACAGGAATTTAGTTATAAAATAATGTACAAGATATTACTTTTTACAGAATAAAATAAATCAGACTATTAAATATAAAAATATATAGTGTAAAATATCTCGTTAATATCTTGCAACTTTCAAACTTATTTAAAGTATACATAAAATATATTTAAAATTTTAAAGTAATAAATTGAAATGATTATTTTCTTTAAAAAAATTATAAATTCATAAATCTCAAATTATGTTTTTAAGTTTACGATATTTAATTAAAATTTTCACTTTCATGTAGATCTCTTGAAATAATAATTATTGTAATATTTAAAATAATATTAAAAAAATATATAAAAGACTTAATATATTAAAGGGTTTAATAAATATGTTTGTTTTTATTTATATTTTTTTATTTATTTATTATATAAGTAAATAAAGTAAATAACAAAAAAATCTATATTAATATATTCTTAATTTTAATTAAAATAACGATGATTGTAGAATTTCTCATCTATTTGTTTTTGATAATTTATTATTTACTTTTATCTTTATTACTTCAATGATTAATAAAATAAGAATAATAAATGAATAATAGTCTCCAAGAACCACGTGCAGTTTTTAATATATGCAATATATAAGTAACGTATTTCAATATTATAGAAAAAGTAAACTTTATAGTATACTTATGCATTTTGGAAGATTACTAGAGTCTTTGGAGTTTTATATTATTGTCTTATAAGTATAGTCAATAATTAGACCTATAAACTTTTTTTGTTTAAGAATACTAATTTTTGTTATTACGACATCTTTTACATCATTGACACTGTTTAATCAAGTCATTTTTATAAGTTTAATATATATTGTGTATGCAATCAAAACATACTATCTTACATTTGTTAACGTACTAAATATTTTAAACCTTAAATCTTTTAGTTTTTATTTACATATATAAATAATAAATTTACTCATTAATTGTTTATTTTAAGTAATTAATAATTAATCGTTGGGTAAAACTATACACATTAAATATTTTACTATTTTATTAATAACTAAAAAATAGTTAACAAAAATTTTCATCATATACCATTAAGACCACAATTGCGCATGCGTTACTTAAAAAAAGAAATGGAAAAGCAATTATATGACGATTGCATGTATTTTATTATTTGTAAGAATATGATATCAAGCTATTTACAATTTTATTAACGTATAGCAAATTTAAACTTTTTTTTTATTTGAATTTTGAATTAACATAAATTATTATGATATGACTCGATTTCACTATATTTCATTTCAGTATGCTTTGAGAATGTGTTGGTATTATTCCTCGAATAACGATTTGGGTGCTGGATAAATACGAGTTGCTGTTCATCATTGTAGTTTGAGGCAATAGAAATAAGTTCCTGGTTTATTCGGTCTTATGATTGCACGTTGAATTATACACGTGTGTTTACAAGTTTACAATTACATTAAAATGCAAATAATTAAAGAAATATTGTGCTTAGGCTGGTGCTGCTTATTCATTATTGAATTCTTTGCTATGGTCAGTGCCGAATGGAACACCAATGATTATATGAAACGAGAACATTCCCTTATTCGACCTTATCAAGGTAAAATGAAAAATATTTTAATTTCTTTAAAAAATGCGTGTCAACACTCAAATTACTGATTACTTATTTTATCAAAATTTAATAATTGCTTTTTTAAAATAATTATTTAGGTTATGTTACATTAAAGGTTAATATGATTAGCATGTCATGTTCAAATAATTTTGAATTCTAAATTGACTTTTCTCTGCGACTGAGACACGCATTCAGATGTGCGCGCGCGCGTATCCATATTTATCGTATAATATTCGATACTGTATTATATGTAAACAATTTAAATGTTTTTATGCAAAACAAATTGCAAGCATATATTATACTTTGTTTGCTTTTTAATTGATTTTTATATTTTTTTAATTAAAATAATTAATCATTCTCATATAGTAACAAATCTGTTCATATTAATTTAAATACTATACAATTATCGAGTACAAATTAATAGTAATAAAGTACAAAGTAACCAACAATATATTAATTGGTATTATAAATTAAATTTGAAAAATCGTGTTTTTATTTCTTCTTTTATTTATACAATTAATAAAATAATATAAACAGAGAGTTGATCAATATTTTTTTTTTTAATTTAATACAAAATATAGTCTTTATTATTACATACAATATACCATTTTTCAAAGTATACATTCCATTTCATATTTCAAAAGTATATATTTTTAAAACCTTTGATTTTAGTTTATTTTTAAATTTCATAATACTCAGAGAAAGATCAACAAATATTTTATACTTCATATTGATAACAATTCATCTGCATACTTTTTAATATAAAATATACTTTCTAAATGTAAAATAATAAAACAATTTCTAATAGTTTGAACCTATATTATATATTATCTAAATATATACAATTTCGTAGTTAAATATAAAATTGAATAATAAGTGTATTAATTTAATATATTTTCATACTTGTCTTACAGCTTCTCATTAGTTAGTTAAATTACATTATTCATACTAAGTCTATTATTAAAATATATTTTCAAGAAATTATAAGTTAAGTTAATAATGATTTAATTTGTCACTGTTATATATTTTTTTATAATATATAAGAAAATTTTTGTTAATATGTAAATAAGATTCGTATTTACTCTATTAAAATTTTAATTTTGCATTTAACTGCATGTGATTTTTCAAATAAAAATCTTCATTTTAATTTGAATTTGTATTTGAAAAGTTTTATTTCACTATAAGAGATATTATATCTAAGCATTCAGTATAATAGCTTGTAAATGTGAAATTTGATCATGTTATTTTTATTCTTATCATAAATTAATCTTATCATATAATATATTAATTGTAAAAATATTCTATGGAAGCAACTTTTACATTAAAAATTCTGGTACTATTTTACAGTTTAGTTATGTTATATAATTGAAACTTTATTTATTGTATAAGCACCCATGCATGCATAAATTAATACATAAATATTTATGAAACTTATCTACTGCCAAAGATTTTAAAATCAAATAGAAATTTATTAAAATCTCTTGTAAAAGGCATTGACAAATCTAAAAAAGGAAATGCCATATACCCAATGATTTTATATTATTGCAGTATTCAATATAAAATAAAAGTCTTGAGCATCTGATAAGAAAATCAAGGGCAATAAAGTGCTTATGTAACAGTTAATAATAATAATACGATATTCATTATTGTATTTGTAGTCCATGTTTTATTCTTTACAATACATATATGTGTACACATGAATGCCTATAAAAATATTTCTCTATTTGAATTACAGTTTAGTAATCTATAACAACTATGCTATTCATTAATATATTTTATATTTTAAATTATTTGTATAAGAAGTAATATATTAATATTGGTAATATGTAAAATTATTTTATTAATGTTATTTGTATTTTTTTTAATTTACAATTTTACTTAAATTAAAGTATAAATTATATATAGGATCAGGAATGACAATACCATACTGGGATTTTGTGGGCAGTACATTAGTTACAAATAATTATGTACGATTAACACCAGATGTCCAAAGTCAACAAGGAGCTATTTGGAATACAGTGGTAAATATTTAACTTACAAATACAGAATAAATAAACTATTTTTAATATTTCAATCAACTGAAAGAATCAACTGAAGATTTACATTCATATATTTTATAGAAAATCAAATGTATACATTAAAACCTAAAAATGTATAAAAGGTTTTGCTGATGAAACAACATAGAAATTTTTTTTGTATATTTATATTTTTATTATATATACATGTATTTATTTCTTATTTTTTAATACAAGTAACAATTAATATGAACAACATTAAACTAATCTGTAGTTTTAATGTAATATAAATAATATAATTCATAATAAATAAGATATTATACAGCAATTAAAAATTAAAACTTTTTGTGATTATAAACAAAAATATAAAGTCATTTAATATCGATTAGTTACTACTTATAAGTTAGGTAAAAATAAATATATATGACGTTTATTCCATTTTTTTTTTTTATATTAATGATACGTGTTGAATTTGATGTGAAGTATTTCTATATAACTTAAAATATGTAACAATAAATAAAATTATTATTTAATAACATGTGCATGTAAACAAGTATCAAGAAAAACAAAATGATTAAGAAAATAAATGAAGAAATTGAAGTGTCTCGATTTACAAAAACAATTAAAAGGTTTAATTGAACCAAAAATAAAAGAACATTCAGAATAAAATTAATATTTAAATTCATTAAATAATCTTGAATTAATATGTTTCTTTGACCAAAATATTTATGTATAATTATTTTTACTCAACCATAGCATGTCAAATTAATAAGATCTATAATTTTAATGACGATAGTAGTAAAGTTCTATATAAAACAGTACTAGAAAAATTGTAATAGATCTTTTTGTAGAGATGAAAATAAATAATAAAGTGAACTAATTTGAAATAACAAATGTATACATACTTTATTGTGTAAATATGTTAAAAAAATATTAATAAATTAAGGAAATTAATTAAAAAATTCAAATTATAAATAATGGTTCAAAGTTTTAAAAAGTATTTTTAAAAGATATTGATCTATTTAAATGGTAATATAACAAATATATATACAAAGTGTTCTACATTTTAATTTTGTATTAATATTTTATAAATATTATAAATGGCAGGATAAATGAAATTGTATTTGAGTGAACAAATTAAATACTAAACTTTAAAGATAACATTGGAGAGAGGAACTTTTGAACCTTTAAAAAAGGCGTCAAAAAAGATATATTATTATTTTATTATTCAATAGTAATTAAAGATTAAGTAGTTTAAAAAATAATTTTAATCTAAAAAAGGCTTAATACATTTAATCATTTTCAAGATATAAATAAAAATATTTCGTTTGTACAAATTTTTACTTTTTCATACAATGTAAGATTAATAATGATTATGTACATTTTTGATATTCATATTTTATGATTAATTAATCAAGAGCTTAATTAGAGATTGTTTTTAAATATCTTTGTATCACAATAAAAATTTCAAATAATTTCAATGAATGCCAGTTACAACTAGATCTTATATTATAATATTAGATTTATTATAATGTTTATTATGAAGAAAATAATAATACAGTACTTTTGAATATGCATGAACACTATTATGTATAGAAATTAAAAAATATTTCACTTTTTAGCAATGTAATGCAAGAAATTGGGAATTACAAGTACAATTTAAAGTTCATGGTAAAGGTACAGATTTATTTGGTGATGGTTTTGCCATTTGGTATGCAAAAGACAGGATGAAACCAGGACCAGTTTTTGGAAGTAAAGATTTCTTTCATGGTTTGGGAGTAATACTTGATACGTATAGTAACCATAATGGTCCCCACAATGTATGTAGTAACTGTAAATGAATTCTACTTCAACAATTTATATATATAAATATCGTTAAATTATTTTTATTTATTATAATAACATAAATTATTAATAGCATCAACATCCCTACATATCAGCAATGATAAATAATGGTTCGCTTCATTATGATCACGATCGTGATGGCACTAATACTCAATTGGCAGGTTGTGAAGCCAAATTCAGAAATTTGGAGTATGATACTCATATTTCAATAAGATATGAAAGTGACACATTAACAGGTAAATGTATAAATTTTATTTACTTATCAATTAAAGTGTAGAAAATATTTGTATAAGTTTTTAAAAAACTACAATATACGTAAATAATAAAATATTTATTTATGTTATAGCTTTTCTTTAAAATAAAAAACTTTAAATATGTTTAATTATTGTTTTTGTACAGTATCTACTGATATGGCAAGTAAAGCTGCATGGAAAGAATGTTTCTCTGTAAAAGAAATTAAGTTACCAACTGGATATTTTTTTGGCATAAGTGCAACTACGGGTGATTTATCAGACAATCATGAAATTTTATCTGTAAAATTATTTGAACTAGATTCGTCAAATGATGTGAGTATAAATTTGAGTTCACACGAGTTATATATGATATTCATACGAGTATATAATTAATTACATTTTTGTTTAGTTAAAAGATGAAGAAGATAGATCAAAAATTATTCCATCAGCAACATTCTTTGAATCTCCAAGAGGTATGTAATTGATCACTTTTGTGTTTATTAAAATACTCAAAATAAATATTGAATATATATTCATTAAAAGATTCTTTTTGTAAATTATTATAAAATACATATATTTAATATATTATTTTTTTTCTTCTTTTCATATAAATTATTTTTTTGCAAATTAATCAGTAATTTAATCGTAATTGTTATTAAATATATAAGAATTATAGAATTTCAATTCCTATTATTCCTTCATATAACTTAGTTTATCATTAAAAAGTTATTAAAACTATTTTACTCATAAATTTATTCAAATAAGTAAATTAAATTTTTAAACATAGATTTGGTTAAATACAATCTTTATTTTATACAGATCACGTAGATGATCCAAAACCATCATCGTTGAGTGGAGTTAAGATTTTCTTATTAATGCTAGTTGGTGCTCTAGCCATTATTGCTTGTGTTGTAATTGGAATTATGTTCTATCAGAAGCATCAAGAAAACAGTAGAAAGAGATTTTACTGATGATTATATATATATATATGATTTAGTGAATTTTTTTAAACAATGACAGACATTCCTTTAAGAAAATATTTCATTTATGAAGTACTGTGTTTATATTGGTTTTCATGAATGCTGATTAATTATAAACAAGTTTTATCTGTGTTGAAATAAGTTTATTTGTGCGTTTGTGAATATAAACTTTTGGGATTGTGTGATATTCAGTTATAGGTACAAGTTTTTTATGTGCAAACTACATAATATAGATTTGAATCTATTTATTTATATTGTAATTAAGCAATTGAGTGATAATTGTTGGTGTAATATTTAGATTTTAATGTTTTTAACTGGACATTAAATACATTTTCTACTTTACATTAAAATCCGTATTTTTAAGTAATAATTAAATAAAAATTAAATAATTCGTAATAAACGATACTAAAATAGATTTGTTTGCCATGTATAAATGCTGCAATTATTATACTTGTGCTTTTAATTATTTATAAAAGAAAGGAGAAATGAAGACTAATATATTATAGTATATATTTGTATATAAAAGGAAAACAAAATTTTGTATACAGTATAAATTTTTACAGATAATTTCTATAGTAACATCATTATTATTATTTACAGTGTTGAGAATCTAAACAAATACATTTATACGATCTATTTATAGTGATCCATTTACCAATTACATTTATAAATGAAGCAAAATGCATTGGCAAAGGATATTTTATTTCATTTACATTGCTCATAATTTTATTGCCTTTTTATATTCCAATATTAAATATCAATTACCCCAATATCAAATTGCAATTATATTATTTTTTCTTTCATAAAATTATGGTTAAAATTAATTCAAAATATTAGTAATATTAACGTTATATATTATTTAATAAATATTGCAATAAAAATATAACTAATATATAATATTTAAGAATTCAAATAATTTTGACATTTGTAGAGTATTTTCCCACATATAAATTGTATTAAATAAATATTTTTAATTTCAAAATGAATTGCTTAAAATTCGTAAATATTAATCAAAGTTGAATTCAACATGAAAGAGTTGAAAAATCTCTTATTTTGTCAAAATAGTATTATCACTTCATTGGTGTTGTAGCAATATAATAGTTATAGAAGAAGATTTTTATTTGTTGTGGGCAGAGGTTTGATTAGTATCTCAATAACTTAACTATTTAAAGTAGATTATTTTAATGTTAAATATGCCCAAATATTAAACTATAATGTTATTGAAATATCACGTATTATCTTTATTTTTATGGTTTTTTCACTTTTATCAATTCTATTAATTAGTTTGTATCCTAGATATCCTAATATTAATTATTTAAAGTTTCATAAATCAATTGTAGATTTTGAAACTTATATTACGACACCTTTTATTTAGTGTAGTTTTAATTATTTAAAATTTTATATTTAGAAAAAAAGTTTTGTAAAAACAATATTTTTTGTAATTTTGTTATTCAAATTTATACCACTTTATCTTATTAATCTTATAATCATATATTTGAAGATATATTATTAAAACATAATTATTTCAATAGAGTTAGTTTAATATTTTTCTAATTGTTAAGTTACCCAAAAATTTATGATTTTCATAAAAAATTATAATTAGTTGTATTGTGAATCTTAAAAATTAAAATATATAAAATATAATAAAATTCTTATAGTTGATAAAACGCAAACCCAAAGATGTAGAAGATATTGTTATTATAAATATGTTATACTATAAGTAGCGTATACTAAATGTATATTAATATATACCAAAAATATGAATTAGAAATTTATTACTAATTTTATTTTATCAAATTTTATGACAAAAATTTTGCCATAGTTTAGAAACAACATTAAAATACTTTAAAAAATGATGATAAACATTTCGAGATGCTTTCATCTATTAAAAACGATAATTAAAAATAAATCTTTAAAATGAACGTCATCAATAAGTTTATGCTCATAAAATATTATTTTCCAGAAAATACGTAATTCCAAATCATACAAGCAATATTTTAATTTTTTTAGAAATTCGATAAAAGATAATATATATTTTATAAATATGCGATAACATTTGTATTATAATTTTAACTATAATTAGTATTCGAAAGATTTTATTTATTCTTTCCACAATTTGTAATTGGGTAATATAAATATAAGATATTCGTGAATAGACAATAAAATAATATGATACTTCATGGTTAATTTCATTATTTCGCATTAATTAAATTTCCGATGGTGCATTATTCAATATTTGATAGGTAAAATCAAAATTTTTACATATAGAAAATAAAAAAAGATAAATAACAGTGTAATTAAAAAAAAGGATTGATTTGGTGAATAATTTATACCTAACATAAAGATAGAAGAATGATAATGTTTAGAGAAGATAAAAAATATATAATTGATATATATTACAAATATCAAATTAAACTTTCGAACAACAAATTTTAAAACAAATATAATTAGAGAATTGAAAACCTATATACGTGAATAAATGAGCAATTATATATATTAAAATTAATAAAAATTGTCTCATGTATATTTTTGGTAAGAATAATAATTGGACCGAATATAGTAACAATAAAGAATAACCATTATTCACTAACTTGTGCCTCATTTTAACAACATTAATCAAAGCGTTAATGAAGCACTTAATAAATCATGGTAAATGTTATTAAAGTAACTCAATAGTCAAGTGTTTATTAATTAATATTGTTACAAATTATTAAAAAATAAAACAAAATTATTTTTACATTATATTCATGTTCTTAGATTACATAGCTTTTGCTTTAAACGTTTTTTTATATTATATATTATATTTTATATTATAGTTTTTTATCGGTTCATACGCAAAATTTATTTTTTTGTAAAACCTACATTCTATTCTTTATGTATTTAAAGCAGAAATATAGTTCGATTTGAATTACAATGAAATTTGTTATTTATATAAGTTTCTATAAATATTTGGTTTAAGATTCAATGAGCTGTATGTTCTATTAATCAATCAGTTTTCATATTTTTTTTTTTAATCTAACGAAAAGACAATACACTATTTTCATTAAAAACAATTGACTATCATTTAAAACTTATTTTCAAAAATTTTCTATTTTAATAATAGGAATAATTGCCTTTTATTATACAAACTTAATTCGTAGAACAATAATTAGTACTCTTATTCTATTAGTAATATGTTCTAAAATGAGTCTTAAAATTTATATAAATACTTTATAAATATAATTTATACAAATTTTTGTATAAATTTTATATTTTATTATACTGTTATGCAAAATATAAATTTAATTTAACATTATATAATACATTTATTTGAAATGCTAATGTTTATCTTTTGATTTTTCATTGAAATACAATTATTGTGCGGATTCATTAATAAAAATAATTTAGATAAAATATATTAGGCAATTAGTTTAATTTTAAGTTAAAAATTTATTATTAGTAAATTTTATGTTAACATAAAGCTTTAGTTATTTTTATATATCACATTAGCATTGATGTTTTCAGATCCGTTTTATTTGTATTCAAATTTTATATCGTGTAATCAATAAATTATTAGCCTATGTTAGAATAATTACAATAGAATTTCAACATCTCAGACAGCAAATATGCATATGTACAGTTACATTTCTTGTTCATAAATTCATAATTTATGGCAGAGTTATAGTAAAATTTTCTATTCCAAAAGTACGTTTTAACAAATATAGTTAAAAAAGAACATGATTGTAGATTTGTTGTTAAATTCAGCATGCATGTGTTAAGTAAGGTGAATTATCAATTATTCTTTTAATTAACCATAAAAATAATTTAAATTACATATAATGAATCATCAAATAATAAAGAAATGTAATCATTCAAGTATGTTATTCCAAAGTCAATATTTGTTTAATATAAAGATAAAATTCATGGGTAAAATTAATTAGAAATATAAAATGGCAATTTCAATTATTTATTAATACGACTAAAAATTATAAAACATGAAAAAGCAATATAGCATAAAATTAAATATATTTATTACAAAACTAAACATTTAAATTTTCTATGTTTATTTAAATTTGTGTAAAGTGTGAACACAACTATATTTACAGAATAATTTAAAAAGTGCCATAAGTTAACACACAAGTATATTCGATAATAATATGCACTCTTAATAAAATACTAAACATTACTTTAAAATTTCTTAATATTTTAAATCTAAACAAAACAATCATTATGAATTTTGATATACTAATACTTTGAACATTTTTTCCTATTTGGTTGGTTAAGCATCAGTTAATTTATAACTTGTCAAGTTTTAGTTTTAAAATTTATATATATATTTAAAATAGTCTATCACTAATTAATAAATGCAAAGATAAAATACATAAATTCCCATAAGCTACGGTACACCTTCAATATACTTAAATTATTTTAATACAAAAAATATAAACAAGCTTTTAATAATAAATATTTTAATTATAAATAAACAATTATTTTGTATATAGCTAAGAAAAATTAAGATAAATTTTATATCATTAAATAAAAATTGTTATAATTAAAGAATTTTAAACAAATATGATATTAAAAAAATTATCGCTTCTATTTAAGATTTTATTTTTTTTAATGACTTCATTTGAAGAATGTAAAAAAAGTATTACAAACTATTTTTATCAGAGAAGCTCTCTATAAATATAATTTCTTTTATTCTGTCTTTGATCTGTTAATTATCTCACATAATTTTTAATAAAGTTAAGGATTAACATAGAGGTGTTGTAATTTTTATCTATATAAAAAATAATGTATTAAAAAATTGTAAAAAAAAGTAAAAATATTAATTTAAAATATATATTGTATTCAATGATACTATTTAATGAAGAAAACATAAACTAATATTTAAATTTTTTATTTTATTATTAAACAATTATTAATACATTTATGAGATTTACATATTTTGTTTCCAGTATATAAATCCAAAATTATAAAAAGAAATATAAATTTATCGATATATTAAGTTAGTTAAAAACATAATTAGTAAATTATATAATGTTAACATATTTTATTTTAATACGCTAATAAAATGCAAGGCACATCGATTTTTGTAAATAAACTACTTTTATGTAATTTTTACATTAATTGTATTTATTATATTATTCACATTTTGCAATTATTGGTTTTACACAAATCTTATTTTACAAAATTTAAATTAATGCGAACGAAGTTAAATATATTTATTTTATTTTATTTGTACTGCTAAATTTTTAGGCACAACTATAATTATTGAACTTCATAAAATTATTTTTACTTCAAATAATCTACTAATTTATTAATTTTTATTAATTTCCTAACACAATTTAGACTAAAAAAATTTGACACAAGTGATCACTATTTTGTACTAATGTAAACGTGATTTACTGTAATTTTATTTAGATTACAAATAAGTTACACATTAACAATTAATGAATGAAATCTTTCAAAATACAAATTACTTTAGCTTATATAACATAATAAAAAAATACTTTAAATCTATTTTTTTACAGTTTTGGAGTAGTAATACCCTCTTTCTAAATAATATACATAATTAAACTATGAAGGCAAGTTTAAAAAATACATTTATATCACTGGAACAATATTATTTTTGTCATAACACGAATGTTTGATTAAAAGAAGGAAACATTATTTCATAGAAACAATGAAGTGTTCTTGCATTAATTACTGAGTAATACCTGAGCCAAAGGTAACAGATTGAATATACATATTCTATACATTGTTTAGATTATTTGTCCATTCCTATTTATTTTGTTTATACTGTATTTAACTATTGATACTGGCGTTTTATTAAAAGTAATATTGGTTTAATAATATTCATGTGGTTTGTAGTTTTACATCTTTATCTTGTCAATACTTTGTGTTATTACGCAAGTTTATTAGTATTTTATTTATCATACTTTAATGTGTTTAGACAAATATTATCTTTGAAACTATAAATATTTTATTAAAATAATAAAAGCGATTAATTCATTGTAAATTATATACTTAACATTTAATTTATATTTTAGTATTTTTCAACGTATTACTTTATTAAAAAATAGGATAAAATTTTTAAATAATTTCTTGTCAATGAATTATCGTTTAATTTTTTTCCATATCAATAATAAATATAATACTTCTGTAAATCAAAGAATTAAAATATTCTATATTATGTACAATAAGTAGTATTTTATTTAAATATTAAGATGGGATTAAGAATAAAATTCAAGATAGATTTAATGCCTAAATAAATGCTTTTGACAACACCATTTAAAGAGATCTTTTGTTTATTTCTTTTATAAGATTTTAAATTTATAGTATGACAAACACGACAGCCTACTTCTTCCAACATTACATGAGGATTTAAGCCACCCAAAAGCGATTCGCTTTCAAGACCATTATTCGATAATATGCCAGAGAACCAAATCTTATCTCCAGGATAAATGTTCAAACTGAAGTTAGCAAAGGATTGATCGCCGAGAAGAGTAATTTGGGCGTTGCTGCTCCAAATGCCGTTTTTCATTTTTACTGTGATTTCGAACTCGTACCAGTTCCACGCAGTTACGTGGCATCTGCTCCTTTTCATGCGAACACTTAGATAAGTTTTGCAATTGAGTTTGCGGAGATCATTGGTATACCTGATATAAAAAAAAATGAAGCAAGCTTTTAATTTGGTGAACTTAACATGAGATGTTAATTTGGCTAATTACTTAAAAATATAATTCTATGCAGACAAATGCTATAATCAGATAAATCACAATAAAATTGCCTTATGCATTTTTAAAATACTATTTAATCATATATGTACATGATATTTTTTAATATGTAAATACGTAAGACATAAATTATTCCTATTGGGAAATGTAATAATGAATCATTCCAATTTGTTTTTAAATGATGATAATTGGTGATAGTGATGATAGTAAAGGCCTTCACCAAAAGTCGACAATATATTGTATTATAACGAATCAGTATAATTTGTTGTAATATAGTGAGTTTTCATAAAAAAAAATACTTATGTTTTAAAAATTGTCAACGATAAATAGCTGATTTTTGACAAAATTATATATGTAATTATAGATAAAATAAATAATGTCGATGATTCGAAAATCATTGATATTTGATCTATATTCGGTAGTGATATCTGTTTTTATTATTTTATTTTAATATTGTTAGATGTATCAACAACACTACGACAATCTTATTTCGCAAGTAAATTAAAAATGTAAATAATCGATATTTACAAATAACAAGTTTGTAAAAATCTATGCATTGCGGAAAATTAATTCATCTTTTTAATTTTTCAGTTCATTTTTCAGATTTTTCAGTCTCATTTTTATAAAATTAATTTTTTTCTAACTAATTTATTTTTCTTTATTTAAAGTAAGGCTTGGATTTTGAGTTTTTGCATCAGTGTTATAGTGTTATAGTCATCACATTATAGTGTTTATTCTGATTCTTTCAAATCAAGTACTTGAATAAATATTTTAAAATATTACATAATGTAGAAACATTTTAAATTTCAACAATTTATTGCAATATAAGACAAATTAAATCTTTTTTTTTTATTTCTAATTAATATTAGTAAAATATTCGTTATAATGCAAATGTCGTTAATTTATTAATATATATTGTTACGTTTAAAGATGCTTATATAAATTTTCAATGGAATTGATTATATTATTTATATCACCATTAAAACTATAATTTAATTCACTAAAAGTTTAAAAATAAATGTTTGACGCTCGTTTAATGATTCATTATAATTCATCATTTTGTTGTTGCCAAAAATCTGAATAAATAAACGTTGAGTTCAAATATAAGAAATTTACTTACCTATCACAATTATTTTTATGTGGCTCGCCAAATGTACAGCGCAGTGAGTTAGCCAGAAAATTTGGAAACTGGTCAAGCAGAAGAGATAAGTTGTTCTTGATCGACTTAATACGGATGTTAGTCACGTATCCCTCCCACATTACTGGAATTCCTTCAAGCTGTGCACATTCAGCTTGGATTTGGGCTTTAGAGTCTGATTCTTCCCATGCTGGTTGATGACAGTAATTTTGGTATTGTTCCCAAGAGAGCTCTGATGATAATTCAAATGGGCTAGTCTCAATTCCTGATGTGTCTTTGTAGCTAGTAATCATTGGCCATATGAGGAAGGTGCCAGCAGCAAAACCAAGAGCCAACTATAATGTTCAAATAAATATGCTAGTGTAAAAATATAACTTAATTTTTTTTCTTCAATAATAGAATTTGTTCTGTTTATATCTAGTGCTTAAAAGTCTTACAAAAGAATATCAGCCTGAAAAAAATATTGTAACACTATATAACAATTGTAAATGTTTTTACTTAAATATATCAGTACCTTCATGAAATTTTAAAAACTGTATCTTTATTCTGTAGTATAATTAAAAATATTACTTCTCTTAAAAATATAAAAAAATTGAAAGTTATCCTTTTTTAAATATCTCATTCTGGTTATTACTCCTAAATGGAGCTCGATTATTAAAAAAAATAATAATATTATTCAAAATATTACGCCCTTTTTACTATACTATAACTTTTAGTAATTATTAATACTATTAATTATTTTTAAATAACATTTACTTTGGTATTTGGTTTTACATTTTTAATTTTGAATTTCAATTGAATAAATTATTTCTATATACAGTGTGCAGATTCTGTTGGATATATGAATCTTTTAGAAACTATTTAATTCCCAAATTCATTTTAAAACTTTAAAAGATGTATGTTCTCTACCAATTCAGTTTCTGTTATTTAAACTCACCATCGCACAAGCACACTATATAATAATATAAATTAATATGAAATGTTATTTTCAATGTGATTTTAAAAAATTATCAAACCTGCCGTTTCACATACCTGCATACAAGTTATGAATGAATTAAATCTTCTCGGGGCTCTGGTTTTCCTTAAATACCATGAACCCGCAAATGGTAAACCGCCCATTACACCAGTAAGCAGTACACGCATGATCATATCACTATCCGACATATATTTGGCCATGGCAACAACAGGTAGAAGGATGGAAGCAAGGCCGACAATTGGCAAGAACAACACCATTCCAACAAGAGCCAAAGCACCTCTGATCAAGCCATACCAGGTTGCACTCTGAGAGCTCAAAACGGCCATCTGCCACCAGCTGAGCGTCACGCAATGCGGTATCAATGTTCTGTAAGTCCCTCGCCAATTGTCTCTCGCAGCCATGTTAATAAAAATCGCAGGTATAAGTAAATAAAAAATCACGCGGAAATTTAAGCAGAATTCGATTCCATTTCCAACGACGTAGGAGGCGAAAGTTGGTACTTTTATGTCTAAAAACCGCCAAGTTTGTGCTACTACCAAATCCATTTCATAAGGATATTTGGCAAGTACGTTGACACTAAAGCTGAAGAGCGGCAAAAAATCCGGATAACGTGCATTTGTTTCTCTCCAGCCAAAATTGAATAAAGTAATGAGCGTCAGCATGAAAGCTATCACTGTAAATTCCGACTGTGGCGTCCATTGGTGAGCTATGAGTGGAAATAGCACGAGGTTTATCAAAAGGGCTACAAAAAAATGAGCGTACGGCTTGACATTGTTTCTGCAATATTGATACTCGGCCTCCTCAGGATTTAAACTGCCGGTCGAGTAACTGAGGAAGAGACGAGACCATACTCTGAGATCGGTCAGCTCTCGTTTCCTTTGCAGAACTTGAAAGGTAGCCATTATCATAACAATGTAGGAGAGATAATAAAGGGTAAGAGGCACTAAAAGAATGATACTATCTGCACCAAGGAACGCATACAATGGTATCAGCACTATTATATGTAAGTAGCTCATAAAAAATTTGTGTAGAGGTAAGCCCCGTCGACCAAGATTTTCCACGAGCCAAATGTGGAGACGTTTCAAAGATGCTAAAGGATGGACAAACGGCCGCTGCAAGAGTGGCACTGTGTCCAATTCCATTTGTGCAGGTTCGACGAGGCAAAGCACGCGCGAAATGATCGGCAAGGAACCTTGTGCATACGATACTGCGGCAGATACAATTGCTGCCTCCGTTATTTTCTCACCTTGCTGTGATGTCCAATCTGTTTAAAATATAAAATCATTTCTTTAAGTATTGTAAATTACAATACATTCAAGTTATCTTAATTAAATTTTAGAAAAAATGTATGCTATACCGTTGAAACAATTTAGCATCATTTTTTTCATTTTTACTTTTTTATAATCCGTATTTAAAATACGAGTATTATAATAATAAAAACTAAATATAAACAATATACAAGATGCAAAATTTTTTCTTAGTTAAAAAATTTGATTTACTAAATATAATTTAAAAAATATAGAGAATAATTTGAAAATGTGTTTATATATCTTCATACTTTACAAATGACTGTCCTTAAGCTTAGAAATATGAATATTATGTATAGTAAATAATAAATAAATTATAAATTCTAAAGGCATAAACTAAATAAAAATTTATTCAAAATTATAAGTAAAGAGTGCTCTTAAACATCTTTTCCCATTAATTATAAATGTTTAAACTGCATAATGGGAATATTTTTCATTGCGCTTTTATTATATTAAAATGAATTGAAAATTTTGATATATTACTTTTAAATGATAAAATATTAATGGCATTATAGTAGTTCACGTTTTTTACTTTTCAATTTACTGGTAATATTAAAGGATAAATTAATTATATCTATATATAAACTAATTATAAATATATTTAGAAAAAAGTTGGGTAATGTTTTATACACTATATTTACCTGGTATTATATCATGCATTCTTTCTTTATTTTTGTATAATTGATGATTTGACTCATCATCTGATGGTAAATCTTCATCATAATTATTTTTTGTTAAAAAATTTTGCATATGGCTTTTACCATTAGCATATTGGTGACTACTAGATTTATTAGTAGTAGAAGGAAATACCAAATCTCTCATACATCTTTGTAGCTGTTCACTTGTAATGAATTCTTCACCATTTGATAAACTGATTGTTAAAAAGAAAATTAATAGGTAAGTCATTATACAATATAAAATCACACAATAACAACTCTGTTTTTCTTAATTAATTGTATTTAAATGTATTTCATTATTTACCTTGTAAAAATTTCTCTAGCAGCTCGTCTAGCAAGTTTCTCATCTTGTGACATATCGAGGCAACTTTTCACATCGTAATAATTATGTTCCGTAATACCCTGACCAGTAGTCAAGCACTTTCGAAGAATATCAGTGGCTTCTATATTACCTTGCTCAGATGCTTTTGTCAACCAATAAACACCCAGTTTTGCGTTTTCATCTTTGTCAATATCCAATTCTAAAACAAAAATTGTCAGTCAAACGAAAGTGTACGTTTGACAGCTAAATTATATTATTAGTAATAAATCAAAATTTTTATTGTTAAATTTATTTTATACTCATTTGCATATACCTTAAATAACAGAAGCCACATTTATTAGTTTTTGTAAAACTTTTGATAGCTAGTATAAATAAAATATCTTACCACAACATTCTTCCAATAACCGTTTAGCCAAAACAACTTGAGAATCTGGACAACCATCCTCAGCCAATTGAGACCGCAACCTCTTAAGAGAGCCTTTCGGTCCATCTATAAGTAAAATGTCATCATAAAATAAAGCTATTGTTCTACTTCTATACTCTCAACAGTTTGTTTAAAGTTTTAACTACAACTTTAATAGTCGACTCAAGAGAAATAATAAAACTTGGAATGATTTATTAAAGATTTTATGAGCTATGGCTTTTATTGATAAAGCTCTTATCTAAAAAAAGTTAATTATTTCTTATTCAACAAAACATTATTACAACTATAAGAATCACAAAGAATGTTATTGACCTATATTTTTATTAAATATAATTGATTTTTTAATAAATGATTTTATTAATGTTTATTTTTACTTTTAAAAAATAATAAAAAAAAAATAATTTAACAGATATAAAGTAGTTTATAATTTAATTTAAAATTAATAGTATGGTAATTACTAGTATTATTTGGTTAAAAATATTGGTAGGACAATAAAAACTTTCTTAATGCTACTGTATCTACAATAAAAAATAGATATTCTAATTTAAATAAAATTTTTACTTTTAATATATAATTTTCGTAGATTGATACATCTTGTTAATCATTATTCTTTACTTATCTTTTAATATACTTTTCTTCATTTTTAAAATATTTAACTGCCTAACTAATGATTACTATAAGTGCATATATAATAACACATGTATACACACTACATATATTACTGTATGTTTATAGTCTTTATTATTATATTGATATAAAGTAAAACAGATTATAGTATTTATTTAAAAATGAGCACTATATAAGAAAAGACACGCGTTCTACAATTATATTTTAATTACAAAATTAATTGTAAAATGTATATTTTGTAATTCATAATTATCAGAATTTGGTGCCTATGAGGGGTGTGTATAAATGAAAGATAAATAATAATTATATTTGAAAATCTAAAAATATAGCTTATGAAGCGTAATAAAGAAAAGAGTCAATTGTATTGTAATTCATAAATTAATTTGGCACGTACAAAATAATCGTATATTGTTAGGATTATATGATAAAGTGCGTATGATTTATTACAAATCTCGAAAAGTAGATGGAGCGGCCACAAACAAACCAGGCGCTTAGCCTACATCATCTACAAGATTTATGGAAGGTCAAAGGTCAAAGGGTCAGGCAACCAACGAACGTTTCGACTTAAGCCTTACCATGTAGTGTCCACTGTTTTCTACCGGATTTACCGGATAGTGGCACGACGCCGGCCATGTCATCCACGTGCCGTGCAGCCTCCTCTCGAACGTCGCTCAGGCAGTCACGTTCAGCACAAGAGAGAAAAGAGTCCCATTCACAATTTCGACATATTACACCTTCCGACGACAGAGCGCCACGATTTTTCTACGACGTATGAGCACATGTAAGTATGCGTGGAAAGAGACCGCGACTTGTCTACTTTTATTTTGGAACTTCGTCCCTCTTCGTTTAACCGGTGCTTTAAGACGCCACTCTAGATTCTATCCTGCTCTTTGCTTTTTCTGTCCTTCAAGGCATCTCGGTCGCCGCTCTCGCTCGCTCAATCACACTCTCTCTCTCTCTCTCTCTCTTTCGATTTCGCTTTCGCTTATTACAGCTGCCTGCTCCTTTTTTCTTTGCTCTCTTTGGGTTTGTAGGTTATAGAATGTTGCGTGCCTGGTCAAGTTGTATGATTGTACCTGAGCAGTTCGCAATTCACCTGATGCGCATGCTCGATTTGAAAAAAACAAGACCGCATCCACCCTGGGAATGCATTTGTTTTACGGAAATTTGCGATACGCAAGCTGCTGTTTCCGCCAACTGTTGCCTTGTTTCTCAAACATGTACATTGCGATTGTATAAGATGCCTGTGCTTTTGGGAAGTGAATTGAATTTGTCTTGCTAATAGTTTACTATGATCAATGACTTTGTTTGCTATGTTTGACAGCAATTTTTATCTTAAGTTAATAAATCATCATTACCTAATTAGATACACATTAATGAGCTCGTTATTAATTTTAATTTATGTTCGGAAAGCTTTTATCAACCGCAATTTAATTAAAAAGAAACTTAATACGATGCTGTATACTTATGTGAAAAAAAATATATTATGAAATTCTGATAAAACGTAATTATTACATAAAGTTACGCGTAACTAACAATTTTTTTACATAAAACTCACTCAAAGAACAGGAAGTTAATCTTAAAAATATCATTAGTGAATGGTACAATAAAAACATTTATTAAATAATGTACATTGAATATTGAAAGTGATAAAAATGCTTTGTTATCAAATTTATTTGAATATTCAATTGAAATTGCTTTTATGAAAATATAAAAAGGAATTTAATTTTTTAATTAAAATTAAATAATTAACATTTTAATACTCGTTTTAAGCACGAGCCACTTTATACTTATAAAATTGATTATTTAATACATATTTGTAACTAGTTCAAAATTTTTTTAAAGTTATTTTATAGTGAATCGTTCTGTCATATGGCCTTGATCCATATTAATTGTATTGAAGATTATTATAACATATATTTAAATTATTATTATTAGTAGTAGTATTATATATACATTTAAATTTTCTAGTAATTTTCTACACCTTTTTTACTGTGTTGATATTAATTGAATTTAATGTACAGCTTTATAAATTTTTAATTATACTTTATTTTATATTTAGCCACATACTCAATTATTAATAATATTTTTCTTCTTTATTTATTTATTTATTTTACATATCATTCATAATTTATTTGATCGTTATTAATGCATTTACATTTATTCATTTTTCACAAATCTAATACAAATCAGTTTATAAAATGAAGGAATGCCATATTGATAACACTTTCATACTAATAATTTTAAATAATAGAAATAAAGGAACACTTAATAATGATAATGTTTGCGTTGACTTCGCCTGCATAAATAATATAGCATTGAATAAACATAGAGATGCAACTGAATATATAAATTGTCAAAATCGACAAATAGTTAGTTGCTTAGAATTCTTGCTTAATATTTTTAATATCCTTTTAATACACTACGTCCCATACATCTTGGGTACGCAATGAAAATATGATCAAAGAAATATTTAGTTGCAAATATGTATATAAGTCAAGGGAAACGATTTAGGATATACTATTAATAAAGCGATAGCGAAGTCTACGAAACTATAGATGAAATATATATGAAACTATATATGAAATATAAATGAAACTATAAATGAAACAGCATCTCAAATAAGCTAACATCGTTCAAATAATAGTTGTGCATAATTTTTGTTTTTATTTATAATTTGATTAATATAAGATCGAGATGAATTGATTAATTTCATACAATTATTATACAATAAAAATTTTGTTTTTCGACTATTAATAATAATTAGAATAGCCGAGCTAGTAAAATCAGACAGAAAACAAGAGAAAGAGATTTGAAACCAAATAAAGTAGGATTTAATCAACAATCAGTTATTTTGTTATAAAAAGATTATTATTTAAAAATTATTAAATATTAAGAAAGAAATATTTTAATTATTTATTTATATTTATAGTCATTTGCAAAAATCCAACTATAATATGTATATAAATGCTGATATAATAATCAATGTATAATTAAACATTGTGTATTTTTAACATAAGAAAATTGAAATTTCCTTGATATCTTCAGTGAATAAAAAACTTAAGTATCAGAACGATTTTTATGTAAGAATTTCATTATTGTCGTATATTTGAATTTTATTTAATTTATGAAATTTTATATTTTACCTCAATATTCTTAGGAATTATTTAAAAAAAAAAACTTAATGAGATGTTTCATCCAATTAATTTTCTGTGTAGTTAATAAATTTAAACTCCTGAAATGTTCTTTATTTTAATAACTTTTAAAACTTATAAAACGCTGTAGATATAAAATACGTTACATAATAGATAATGTATTATACGAAAATTTCCAAAATTTATAGTCGGTATTTACTATTAATAGTTATTATTTTCATATCTTATAATTCAATATTTTTACTACATAAGGATTTGTATTTCTCGATATTGTATTGGTTCTGAGTACGTAACATTAACAATATATATAATATGGGTGATGCATTATTAAATTTTTAACGCTTAAATTAATTTCACTCGTTAAAGATATATATTAGTGCATTATTTTACAATCTTCAATAAATTAGTTCGTTTTATGTTTTAAATTAAGTTTTACAATATATGTAAAGATATATTCAAATTTAATAAATTTCTAAAAAAAATTTCGATGAAGTATTTATAAGAACAAATTATTAATTATGCAGACTTAAAATTTTATAATTCACATAAATTATAAGTATAATAATAATACATATAATAATAAATTTAGAAATTCTATTAAAGGCTAATTCTCAATTTAGTTAGTACTTTCATAATGCTTAAAATTTATTTTCAAATTATTTTTAAATAATTGGTTGACATTATAGTAGCACAATTAGACTACTAAAAAAAGTTGTTTCTAATTTTGTAGAAAATTTATCTACTTTTTATGATTCATGTTATGTTTGATCTCTATTTCTTTCAGTAGATTCCGGTAGATTATTTATTTTTCAATTATATTTATATCTTTGTTTTAAAATTTTATTCAACTTTATATAATGTATTTTTAATAATAAGAAATATTTATATTTACTAAAAATTATTTTTCCACATTAAACTAATATATATCCACTAAAAATTCATAAAAATTAGACATTAATATATATATATATATATATAAAGTAAATCATTTTTGAAATGAAAAAAAAAATTTGTATTAATATCTTCTAATATTTATATAATATTTGTAATAAAATCAATTAATTAGTTTGTACATTCTACATATATGATTAACATAAATTTAATATGGGACCGAGTTTTAACTTTTATAAATATATATTTTAATTAGAATAGTTTCAATCGTGTATTTTGTATTAATAAAATATTATAAAATAAAATAAAACAAATAACTAGTATTTAGCAATTAATTTGAACAATTTTCAAAAGAATGCAATTTCTATTTATTAGAGCAATATTTAATACATTTAATATTAATCATTATCTTTAATTAACATATTATAATATATTTGATATAATTAATAAAAAACAATGTTTTCTGTTCAAAAAATAGAAAGAGATGAAAGAGTTCTGATGCTGCTATAAAACTATTCGTAAGAGAATTAAGTTATATCATATAACGTTACGTTATTTAATTTTACGTTATTTATTTGATTATTCTTGATTAGTTTTTATACTTATAATACTATATTTAAAATATGTAAAAAAATTTATTTATCAATGTAACAAATAATAATAAATTAATAATATATCTATTATTATATATTAATAATATAAATTAATAATATAATAGTAAATAGTCAAACATTATAGTAATAAATAATATTAGTATTTTTTCTGAAAAATTATCGATTATTCAGATAATCTTTCATATGAATCTTCGATTAATTTCATTGTAGGTTATTTTCTCTGATATAAAAGATTTATTACAAAAATTTAAAAGCATAATAGATCTGCATGCATGAAATTCAATGGTGATATATTATCTCGATTTAAAGTCAGCATGAATTACATCTGTTTCTTTAACAAAACCATGTTTCAATCGGCTTCTCGTGTAGTCAAAAATCAGCTCGAATACCAGTGCCACCACTAAAAACAATATTTTCACATTATTTATAAGTGTAATAATATATTTCATAAATATACATATATTTATATATATTATAAAATATTATTATTATCAATCTATATATATTCATTTTTAATGTTTTTGTATTGTATTTATATTATTTTTCTAAATTCGATTCTAAATTAAATAAAACACAATGTTCTTTTAACTTGAAAGTAAATATAAATAAATAAAGTTAAACAGATATTAACTATTTCTTTAAGTTAATATCATTTTAATGAATAAAATTAAATTATTAAATATTGTATTATGTTATTTTTATAATCTTAAGATTTCAATACATGATTATACTTTCATTTTATTCATAAAATTTTTTCATAAAATATTTTCAGTAGCCTTGATTGCTTCGTATTTGTTTATAATTATTTGGAATACTATATTTATATTATTCTGTATTGAGGACTTGAAAACAACATATATTTATATCGCTAAAATATATTAAGTTAAATTATTATAATGATTTTTTCTGTAACTACTTGTAAAAATGTCATTCTAAATCTATTAACTGAATATTGATTTTATTAATTGTTTATATAAAAAATAAATATTTAATTTTTTGATTAAATAATGTATAAACATTTGAAATAAAATCTCAGCTTACATTATAATTCTCTAAGAATTGATGACATAGTTGGATAAAATTTTTTACCAATTTTATTCTAACGTATTGAAATTTAATATAATAAATTATTTATTTAAAAAAATTATTCAGTAAAAAGGTTTTATTTTTATTTGAATTAATTTTTTACTAAATAAATCATCTCAATTTTCAAAAAATTATTTTAGAATTTGTTTTAAATACTCACTTGCTACATCGCCTATTATATTCATTATAGATTTGTAATTATAATATTATAAATTTTGAACACATTAAAGACTAAATAATTTTGAAATTAATTGCATTGAAAATTATTGAATAAAATTGAAAAATTAATTAATTTGAAATAATATTATAATTATTAAATAAGAACTTTGTCGATATTGCTTAGAGAAAAAATGTTTTCATGTATTATACAATATACAACGGCAGCTACAATTTAGAATTTAAAATATAACATTTCTAGATTTTAAATTATACCTTAAATTAATGATGAATAATTATCATACCGCTTTTATTACAAAAATATCATGAACGAAAATTATGTTTTATAAAAGTTTTCAATAATAAATTTCAATAATACGAAAACAAAAGAGAACAAACTTTTAATTTAATTACTATTAATTTATATGCTGCAAATTATTTATGTATTATAATTGTTTGTAAAAGCCATAAAAATTTAAACTGCTATAATTTCTTATAAAATTGTAAATTATAATAGAACTTATAAAAAATTATTTTGTGCATATTTAATAATAAGAATTAAACTAAATTAATCAATAAAGTTTAAAAATGTATAATAATTTACCTAAAATTCAATAGTTGTTAGTTCAAATATTAGTTTGCTTTAAAACAATATAATATAAAATTGTAAAATATATAAAATTATAAAATCATTTTAAATATTTAAATAGATTAAAAACATTTTTTTTATATCATATATTTCAAATTCTGTTTTACACTTCCTTTTCTTCTGCAATCAAGTTATCAAACAACCAAAATTTTTTTCATTGTATACTACAATGACAATAGATATTTTTACAACATTAAAATTTTAATTATTATCTTTCATTTTTTTATCGGCAATTCTCAGAAAGTTATCTTGAATTTTTCATTTCTTATCTCAATCATTTTTTGAGTTTTCTATTCATTCTAGATACTTACAAGTTATTTGGGGTTATGTACGGTGGTGGATTAGGACGAACGTATATATTGATATTATCTTTTGTAGTTCTGAAATATATTCATTACTCTATTAATTATCATATATATAATATAACCAATTGTTTGATGATATAACGTTGGATAACAATGGAATAAATTTAATTATTATCAAAGATTTTTATCAACTATATAATAACAAATATTAAGCTATTTTCATTAAAATATTTTAATTTTTAAATAATATTTACTTTATGTTTATTAATTGTTATTTGAAAAAACAGCAAATGATTAAAAATGTTATTATTTATCATTATTTATGTTATTTGATTTTTAAATTAAGCTTAGAGAATAGTTTATGCAAGTTAAAATTATTGGAATCAATATTGTCTTATATACTATATACTTTACAATAATAATAAATCCGAATCTTCATTAATTTTAAATTATCTTATATTATTTATTAGTTTTTCTTTGTATGATAATATATTATAGCATTTAATGTATAACTGTTTCTACTAATTAAATAAATTTTGTAAATAGTAATTTTTGTAGTACCTGGGACTACGATTAATTGATTGCGAATCACTCAGTGTTGGACTACAACAAGATTGAGGACCTGAGAGTGACCGAAATGTACCTCTGTTAGTTGATGTAGTTGCATATTGTATCATTTGAACTCCATTTGTTCCATTATTTTCTTTAAGTAATGCAGAGCTTCTTTTATTATTCCCAGTGATTCTGGAAGAATGTATTTGTAAAATTTATAAATTTTATAATATTATTACTTCTTAATTACATTACCTAGATTCTTTTAGTACGTAGATACAATCGTATTCATTTATTAAACTTTAATCTTCTGATAAATTTTTTCGGTTTTTTTCTTTAGATTAATGATATTGAGTATGATAAAAAATTTAATTAAGTGAATACATTTTAGTGGATTTTGAAAATATAACACAATATTAAAAAAAATATTAAATCAACGTTCCTTATTTATTTATAAAATTAAAATGATTACACTTGAATTGTTTGTTAATAATTATAAAATAATTCAATATATACGATTTATACTAAGTTTTAGATGCTTGTAATAATGCTTATTATGATGATTATTTTGAAGACTCGTAAACTGAAAACAAAATTTCATATTACCTGAATTAATATTAATAAACATAGTATAAATAAAAGTTATCAGCTTTCTAAAACCTTAAATACATTTTAATATAATTTATAATAAAATATAATTTCAATTTAGATTAGTCGAAAAGGTATTTTTCGTAAATTAAATAATTAAAAAATCTATGTATTTTATGAAATATTTTAAAAATATAATAAACAAAAATTTGTATTATTATAAAATAGAATTATAAAGTAGATTTAGATATATTTTTCTATATATTATTTCAATATCTTAATGCGACAGAAATATATTAAATTTTAATAATCGATTAAACTTATCGATTAAATTTAAAAATGTAACTATGCATAGAAGTATATAATTTCTTTTAAATACAAAAAAAATATCTTTCGAATCACGAATAATTAACTGAAATGATAGAATTAAGAATATAAAATAATAAGAAATGTATAATGACACATTCTAGAAATGATAAAACTTCTTAAAATACTGTATGGGTACTCACATACACTTTAAATTCGTTGGCATATATGTCATATTAAACACAAATTACAATATACGTTTTTTAGTTATATATTAACATATAACAACTGAATATATAATAATTAAAATCATATATATATTATTATAAAAAAATACATAATATTAAAACATTATTGACATAATATTTAGTTAATTTACCATAATTATATTTTAATTGTTATCTTAATATAGTATATCTCATATTTTATTAGAGCATAATATTAATATATTAAATTAATATATTAATTAATTTCTTCAATTAGTATGTAGTAAATGAATCCTTAATTGAATAAATTTATATTACAATTTTAATTATTTAGATATTGTGGTTTTTAAGATTTTTATATGTTATATGTTAATTTTAAATATTAGAAAATTATAGAAAATATTAAATATTATAATAAAAAATATATAAAATATAAAAATAAAAAAAAATATATAAAAATATAAAAAATATTATTTGAAATAAATTTATTTTGTAATATTTATTATTTTGTAATTTATTTTGAATAATTTATAAATGAAAATTACAAAAAGATTTGAGGAAGTCATTAAACGAGCTTTATAAGTATTATTGTCGAAAATATTGGTAATATATATAATTGCCGTATCGGAAATCCACAGTGACTAAAATATGAGCAACTGAGTTTTAGAAATCAAACATTGAAATAACTCATTTATCGATTTTATAATTTTATATGTAATTAAATATTTAAAAAAATATCTTCATTGATATCGCTTATAATGATTAATTATATGCTTATACAATATACTTTTTATAGCACAACCTTTTCATTTTAATATTATTATTGATAAATAAATGGTGCACAATGAAGTTTGTCATAATTGAATTTGAAGCTGTGACAATTGATGTAACGTCATAGTTATACGTCATAAGAATGTCCTTCTCAGAAGAATACTTATAAAAATAATGCTGATTCAAATGTGTTTATTAAAAATTAAAGCAAATGTTCGTAGACACAGGCCATGCTTAAAAATGGCATATACTGTATATTTTTTAATGTTTAAAATTAATCATGTGTATCAGACAAAAATTTCTTTTTAATCAATTTGTATTTGCTATTATTTTTATCCAAACATTTGGATATTTTATCCAAATAAGGTTCGAAAAAAGCATGAAAGTTATGTATTGAACAGAATTTAGTAGAAATCTAATGTAGTAACAATAAAGTACTTCATTCGGATAATATTTTTATTATTATATAATCTAAGTTTTATTAATTTTATAAATTTTATATACAGTATTTTTTATTATGTAAATATTTTAATGTATTATTATTTATAATAATTAATTTTCATAATTTTCTTATTCAAATTACTATTGGTGATATTTGTAATCTGCTGTAATATTTGGTTTGACAAAAATTAGGATTGATATTTTAGGTTGAATCCATAAAAAAAGAAGGAATAGGAATATCAATGGATTAGCAAGTTATATTTATCTACAATTTATCTAAAAGATGCTAATTATTATTATTTATATATATTATCGACATATATTCAAAGAAATAAATTTATAATTAAAGAAGAAAAAGACGGCTTTAAAAAAGGTGCCGTCGTAAAATAAAAACGTCATAAAAATCTGTACCTACATAGATACGTGTACATATGCATGTATCTATAAAATATACCGAATTAATATACACTTATTGTAAATTATCAAGGATGTAAATGTTATATTATTAGCATTAATGTAACATAAAAAACTGACAATATTTACTTTATCCATGAACGCCAACGTATTATTTAGATTACGACATTCTATCTATTTGCAACATACATCCGCACCATTCAAACACTTTTATTTTTAACAAATATTTTCATTTATTTTAGATTTTCTCTAATTATTTATATTATACATATATTAAATTAATAATTTTTCAAGTTATATATGAATAAACAAATATTATTCATAAAACTGAGTTTAAATAAATTTTATCAATTTAAGATCATGTAATATGAATATGTTTATTCGGATTAAAATATCATGTATTATGTATTGATTCATTATTATTTTTTAGAACTGGATAGATATTTTTCGCAGTAGTTATATTTACTTAAATTTTTATTCGTATTACTTAATACATTGACATATCTGTATTTGTATTTATATTTAAAAATTAAATATTTAGAAATAGAATTTTCAAATTAACCTATTAATAGTTTTCTACACAATACTTTTAATGGTAAATAATTATGAAAATTGCTATTTACAATTAACACTTTATAATTTTTTTATTTCGTTGTATTTTTTATTTAAGCCTATAAATAGATGTATAAATTTATTTATTATACATATATTCATATTTATCAAAATACTTTCTAATGTATTATTTACCTACTCCACCTTAAAAATATTTAACTTTATTTTATATTAATAATAAATTATTCTTGTTCTCAATTAGTTTCCAAATTAGTCATTCAATATATTTGAATGTTTGAATATTTTATTATTGTTCCACAATTTCTATTTTTGTTTTGTTTTTTTGTCTCTTTCTAAGTATATACGCGTGTGTCCAAAACTTAGCGGTATAGAGTTCGAGATGAAAATTTTTTCATTTGTAAGTCTGACTTTTGTCGATGAACAAGTTGTGAGTTGATTAGCGTAATGCATTTAGAGGTTTATTTCAACACGTACATAGCGAGGCGACTTGATAGTTTGATGTGTCGAGTTTTTAAAGAATATAACGAAAACTTTAAAACAATTAAATATTAATATTTGTTCACATATAAACCAATGGTGAAAGAGTTAAATAATATTTAGTTGTTAACATTGACAAATAAAGAAATGGTTATAATTAAGTAAATTAATATCTTAAAATTATAAAATAAATATAAAACACTCTTGGGATAAAAAATTAAAATAGATTTATTGGTATTAATCTATATTTATCTTAAATAATCTTATTTTCATAATTGCACAGATATGAAATGTTTGTTGTGATTTTTTAAATTTGATTAAAAAAATTACTTTACTAGTTACAGTAGTTAAAAAGTAATACTATTATAAATGTAAACGTTAAGCATTTAAACGAGAATAGATATCTCTTTGTGAAATTATTTATTACATTTTCATTTGCTTATTTATGTAATATTGTAACTGAGTTTCATTTAAATAGTTTTAAAAATTTAAACAATTTTTATTGACGTCGAACAATTCACATTGAATGAAAAGAAAATGATTGAAATTAATCCAAGAGTCTCAACTGCTAATCAGTTAGCTATAATTTTGATCTATGCTATAATTTGACCTGATAAAAAATTAATCAAAATCAAATAATACTACGAAAAGTAAACAGTTGTATATAAGCATGGAATAACTCTCCGATAAATAAGAAAAATGGGTTAAGATATGACATACCGATCTTAGTAAGCTTTTTAAGAATTAAATACTCACAGTTGGTCGTGATGGAGGCAAAGAGTAGCGCTGAGAAGGCCGACCAGCAACATAAGAAGAAGGGCCGGCACGAAAACACTTGTGAAAATTTCACGGCGATAGCTCCGTATCGGCATCCGGGACTTGTAAGGACGGGTCCAACGCCACTCGGAATGCTCGAATTCACTGCTTAAAGTTGAGGACGCGGGTGGCAAACCGATTATGCTCGCGTTCATGTCCCGACGTCCACTCTCTTCCTCTAATCCATAGCTTACCTCGATCTACAACATCGATGACATCGACTTACTTCTCGTTAATGTAGAAGGAATTACAACTAGATGTTCGATTATCATATTACGGACAACTTGCGCTTCACTTGTTTATGAATCGGTTGAACTTATTACGTTTTTTTTTTCTATATAAAATTAATCAATAATATATTTAAGTTCATCGCGTACCTATAAGTAAAAATTAATTATACGTACCAATCTAAAATAACACCAGTCAAATTCAAAGCCAAAAAAGAATCGGTCAAAAGATACTTTCTTAAAATCACAAGTAGTGAACTTTTTCATTGTCGGTTCTAATTCCTTTTCAAGATTTTGTAAATCAATTGAAAATGGTATAGAACTACCCAACCTTAAAACTGTCCTGCAATAACATTAAAATAGTAATAAAGTTATATATTTTATATTTATTTGACAATTTAGTGTATATACATTTATTACTTTATAATTGACGTTCATTGTGATAAATATAATTTAATATTTTAATAGAGTAATTCTATTATAATGTTAATCAAATAATACTAAAAATAGTATATTTTAAATTACTATTATATTTGTGGTAATAAAATTTGTCGCCTGTATTGTTATATACAAAAATTTCAAAGTTGGTTTTTTGGTATTTTAATTTTATATTTTAATATAGTAGATTTTTGCTTTTCTTTGCTTTCATAAATAATTTACATTAGCATATAAGCCTAATATTATCAATTATTACCAGTTAATAAGTATTATCAAATAATAATTAGAATTTAGATTTAAATAACTTCAAGATATTTAAATTATTATATTTTACATAAAGTTTAAAAATGATAGATACATGTAATATATATTAAACTATTCAATATCATTAAATATGTGTAACTAAACAATATAATAAATACACTATTACTTTAATTATAATTATTGTTCCTAATAAATAATTTGTTATTATTAATTTAATGAAAATAATTATAATTTTTTAATAAATTTAAAACACTTTTTTGAAAAAATTTACAATTTAAAAAATTTTATTTTTTGTAAATATTAACACATAAAACGTGAATTGGCATTACTTATTTTATGTAAGTTCCGTAACAGTAACATTGGTACGGCATTAATACAACATTAAATTCGTATTTTTATCAGAAATAAATCGATGCAATGAATTTGTATTACTTAGATTATTGCTTAATTAATAAGTATTTAAATATATTTAAATATATTTAAATATATAAATTTATCATGATGGAAATTTTTTTGTTATAAGATCATTGAATAATGACACAAGTATATGATTATGGAAATAATAATTATGGAATCAAAATGTCTTCTTATCTCCTATAGAGATAATACATTTCATTATTATAATAAATAAGAAGAATTTTTATATATGAGAAAACTATATATTATCAATGTGTAAATCATATTTTATTTATAAATTTAAGAAGACAAATTTTTTTCTTTTATAATTGAAATAGAAACAATATATATAAATGTAAGCATATTAAAATGAAAAACGTATTTTTATTTAGTAAATTTATTTTCATTCAGTGCATGCATGATAATGTTAAAATAAAAACTAGAAAAATTTAAGTTGATATAAACAGATGTAAATATAAGTATTCCATCTGGTAAAAAACAACTATCGAAGAAAATGATAAAGTGATCTAGAATATCGAAAGAGATAGAATAACAAGTCAATCCCTGATAGTCATTTGCATCAATACTATACATGAACGATTAAATCAATATCTTTTGTCTACATATTAACCCAAGCTATGTTTCCGAATTTGATTATAGTTATTTTGGCATATATTTAATAGTTCATTCAGAGCTTGTGTGTATATTATTGTCTTTTCGATTTATAACATTAATTAACAAATAAATTATAAAAATATTTTTATAATTATTATATTTATTATTTTACTGCACTTTAAAATAACAATACGTTAAGTTAATATATATATTTAGAAACAGTATGAAAAAATATTATTTCTTATTCTTCTGTTAAATGTATATTTCTTTATTTATAATCTAGGTTTTCTTATAAATATTATCAAATAACCTTCATGTAGAATTGTATTTAATAATAATACTAAAATATTAATATCTCGAATATTGCTTATTCACGGAAAATAGATATTTTTAATATAATATTTATATGTGCAATTAATATAATTATGCTAATATTTCTAACTATTAATTTCTAAAAATAAATATTACTAAATATTTTAATTAATTTACCAAATCAAATTAGAAAATGACTAATTATAAAAATATTATTCCAATTCTAAGGAAATACATTAACTATAGCTATAGCAATTACATTAACTATAGATTGTATTAATTATATTTATAAAAAAAAAATTCATCGTAAAATTTTTATAATTAATGTTCATTATAATTATAAAATGTATTTTTTTTTAATTAGAAAAATTAAAAATCATTAAGTTGGAAATATTTATAAAGATTTATTGTTCTACAAAATCATTTAATCATTTCTTGATTATATATATATATATGTATATGCATATGTGTAAAAAAATTTTGATACATTTTAGGTCTACTTAAAAATTAAAAGCAAAATTGTATAATATATATAACATATTGCAACCAATGATATTGGATTTTGCACCATTGGAAATTGCTACAAATGATATTGATGTTATATATATATATATATATATATATATATATATTATATGTTGATATATTAATATTATATTGATATTATATATACTATAATGTTAAACAAAAATTATTCAAAATGAATGTTCAAAGAAAAAGAATAAATAAAATATCTCAAGTGTCTGTCATAAATGCTTAATAAAATAACATTTATTTATTCCCTTTTTTAGAATATAAAGAGCTTCATTGATTTGCGTGTGAACGAAACATTTATACATATGTATGTAACTATTTATACAAGTACATCCCGCTATTTTTGCATCGTCATACACATCAATGGCGTTTGACGTAAGAGCATTCATGTAGTCATTCGCGTCGAAGCATGAAAATTAGTTAAAGTACAAAAAGAGAAAGAAGAACGAAGTGAGCAAAGAATAGAAAAGAAAAGACAATGATAAGATAGAATAGATAGGTAATTACGGACAGTGGAGAGTTAGATTGAGTTAATACCAGTGAGCAAGCCAGGAAAAACAATGAAAAACTTATTTGTGAAATATAGAAAATATTTCTTTATATCATGATGCATAAAATTTATTAAAATTTGTTAAAATCATTAATTACTTCAACTAAAAGAAATAAATTATTAAAATTAATCCGCCTGATAATTATATACTAATGTTAAGATTATTTTATAACCTATGATACTTTTGTGAATAAAATTAATTTTCAACGAGATAATATATTTTTTCTAATATTATATTAATAAATCAATATATAATGACGAGAACAAGTTTTAAAAATATATAGATAAAAAAAACTGAAAGAAAAAAAAACAATGAAATAAGATGAAGTATGAAGTCAGATATAAACGAGGATCATAGAAAAATAAACTAGCAATTTGTACTGCAAATGTCATTCTTTGATCATTTCAAATGCTCTACTTTTGTTTATTTATAAATCCCATTTATTTTTAAAATTTTTTTTAAGAATGTACAAAAGAGTAAGAGATTATTTATTGTATTTTGTAATAAATAAAATTATCTAGTTTATAAATTAGCTGGTCAAGTTTATATGATCAAATTACTTAATTATATTAAAGTGGGTTTAATTTTAAAATTAAGTGGCATGAATAATAATATCACCCATTTATTATCAGTGTTATAATTATTAGTTTTAATGAATGCATATAAAAAAATTTTTTTAGTTTCATTAGCACCAAATCAATAATAAAATTAATAATTACCAAATCAAATAAAATTATACAATGAAATATTGGCTTGACGATATTTTCATATAATTTAATCAATTAAAATACAATTATAAACTTTATATGACACTGAATAATTTATAAAATACAAGATATTAATTTATTTTCTATATTGCGCGCGAATCCTGTAATACTTGAGCATATATTTTACGTACAATAAATCCATATTATATTATAGTACCATTCTCGTATGCTTTAGAAATAATAAATCATTAAATGTAAACGTCATACAAGCAATACAAAATAAATAATAATGATGAAGGCGCTAATGTTGATTATTCGGAATTAAAATGAAATAATTAACCAAATCGATAGGTAAAACTGAAGGTGAGGAAAAATGAATCAAATAAACAGTGTTCTCAAAAATTAAAAAGATACAGATCATGGTTGAAATATAGTAAATAAATATTTAAAAGAAAAAAGAGAAATTGTAAGACAGCGGTGGGGGAAGGGATGTTAACGCGCGACGAGTTGCAAAAAAAGAAGAGGAAGTGGAAGAGGACGCGAGGGAGTGAAAGGGGGGATGGTAAAGTAAAGAAGAGGGAGATACGACGTGCTACAATATACACTCGCGCGAGTAAACTTAGCCGGTGCGCATAGCTGCGAGAACGCGGCGCATGGATTCAGTTGGCATTTAGCCGTCGGTGCGGCGTGTGTTCGAATTCGGGAGCCGCGCCCGCGCGCGGTCCGGCTGTTTCGCGTCGTCACCTCGTCATTGTGTTATTGTGTTGCTTTATCGGTGCGGCCTTGTCAGAGAGTTTTGAAAGAGGTGCACACCTACGACGAGTCGAGAAAGAAGTCGCGAGCGGACAAGTTGTGCATTTTTTAACAAATTTTCCATTAAAATTTCGTAAAGGAAACGCAGCTAGCTATTCGTTCCTCTCTCTCCTTCCGTTCTCCGGCCGATCGGCTGGCATTTCATAAGCACAGTGGATGTGTGCACGGAATCAGAAAAAGGGAGAGAGGGGGCGGGAGAGCGGGAGGCGAAAAGAGCGAGAGAAAGAGAACGAGAGGGAGAGAGAAGGAACGAGAAAGAGAGGAGACAGAGAGAGAGAGAAGGAACGAGAAAGAGAGGGGAGAGAGAGAGAGAGAGAGAACTGGATGGACGGGAAACGTAGTCTTCACAGAGTGGGTAAACTTTACGTGACTCGCTTCTTCAATAATTTCATATACATGCTCTAAAGTTTTGAGCGTCAAGAGGTCCACAACTTTCATTTCCGCCTTCTTCTGTCATACAGTATGCAACGAACGATTTGTTTTCATTTTTCTGTTTTTTCTTTACATATTACGAAAGAGAAGCGGCACTTGTTGCCCACTATCGAGTGCACGTGCGTGCGCATGTGTCGCAGCGTTTTAATCTTCCAAGTCTAAGTTTCAGCCGAGACTACTTTAGTTCGATGTTAACTCAAATTCACATATATGTACTATCCTTTTTTCATTTTTTGTAGAATAGTTAAGTTTTATCTCTAAGAATATTCCCTTAAATTATG